TAAGGGAACTGTCTGAGCCCTGAAGTTGATTATGAGTGTGTGTTCCTGCGTGCTGCTGGCTGAGAGCAGCTGAATAGCACTGCTGGCTTGGTTCCCTGCCCCAAGTGAGGCCATAGGATGAGCTCCATTGTTGCCTCAATTCTCTAGTCAGGCTTACTAGATGGTCAGGACTGCGTACTATATTCAGTAGTAGGCAGGGTTGTGAATTAGCTTCCCTGCTCTGACGGGGCAGCAGGACAGTACCCAGGGACCACATGACTCATTGTTTGGGGACCCAAATTAGGTAACAGTGTGCATGGAATATCCTGGTCAGGTGAGGCCACCAGTTTCACTCTGAAGACAGGGAAAGACACAGGCTGTGCTCTCTGTTCAAATGCCACTGTAAGCAGGGCTGGTCAGGTGGGCTGAATGCTGCATTCTGTGATAAGTGGGGCTACAAATAAGTTTGCCTGCTTTTGTACAGCAGCAGGAGCCGCTCCAAGGCCTCCTAGGCTCTTGGTGGTCTTGATTCAAGCTGACTCATGCCCCAAGTTCCTTAGCCAAATGGGGCCACTGGCTGTACTATGGAAGCAGTTAGCTCTGCCCATCCACTTCTTGGAGCAAGTGTTGCTGGGCTATATAGCTTCTAGGTGTTCTCACCACCCTTCCTGTCAGATAGGGCCCAAAGCTACATCCCACAGCTGGTAGGGCTATGACTCAGGTCTTCCACCTAGGCATGGGCAGACCACGCTCCAAGGCCAGCAAAACCCTTTCTCTGAGGATCCAAATCAGGCAAACCAAGTTCTCTGAGCAGACTGCACCACCAACTTGGTTCTGCAGATGAGCAAAGCCACAGGTTGGGACTACTACTTGGGTTCTGCAGGTGGGAACTTGGTCTGCCATGATTTGAGTGTTTGTTGTTGCAAGACCCTACCCCGCTTCTCCATCACAATCAGATTCCCAGTAGTTTAGTCCCACATTCACCTGCAATCCCTGTTGGACAAAACCAGAGTAGGGGCTCCCATGACACAATCCACAATTTTGGAGAGCTGGATGTCACCCCTGGGCTCCCTTTTCCCTTTGGAGAAACCATAAGCTTGGGGGAGACTTCTTGGTGTGGTGCCGCACGGGCTGGGGGCGGTACACTGCAGGCAACATGCAGCCATTCTTAGCCTCCTAATGCAGTCTCTCTAGGTCTGTGGTGAGCAGAGGTGGAGCACTTCTGCCTCAGCCCCACATTCTAGGAGTCTCCCAGTGGTGTCCTGCCTATGAGTAGTTAGTTGTTAGTTGTTTCTCTTGTGAGGGGAAACAAAGTCAAGAACAACCTATCTTGTCATCTTGGTGATGTCACTTCCCTTACTGTGTTGAACACTGTTTCTGAGGACTTTATAGGGATTAAGATCTTTAATCCTCACAACCATTTTATGTTACTGCTCTTAATCCCATTCTACAAATGTGAGAATAGAGGCAGAGAGAGAATAAAGCAGGAACCCTTGTTTGTCCCATGCCCGCTATGCTTTTAACTCAGAGAGCGAGACTCACAAACTGTCCCACTGCTTCCTACCTCCCATGAGCAGGTGTCTTTCTCCACAATGGCAGTGTTGCATTGCTCTTCACTGGGCCCTCAGGGTAACATGCCTGCTGGAGATGACGAATTCAATGGAAGTGCAGGAGTGGTAGACAGAAGATGCAAGAGGAAAGGAGGCACAAGGGGGATGGTTTCCAACTCATTAGGATACTTACTGATAACTACCTTCGCTTGCCCATCTCCACTAACAAAGCTGGCGGCGGGACTGGCCACTCCCCCCAACCCTGGCCGAGCCCTGCCGTAGGCCACTAGCAGCAGTCCAGCCTTCCTCTGGATGAGGGCAGCTCCCCACCCACGGCTGGTCCTCAAAGCCACAGAAGCTGAGCAGTCACCCTGCTTCATCCCTGGGGCATGGATTCAGGCTTTGCACTGGTTCCAGGCACAGGACCAGAAAGGACTTGTTCAGGTCACAGAGCTCGTAGGTGTCAGAGCCAGGCGTCCTAAAGCCAAGATTATTTCACTCCTCCCCATACTGCCATTTTGTGTGGAAGTCGCCATGGCAGTTGAGGGGGTGTGGTGGGGCTATTATCATTCCCAACGTTGCTCCCCTAATAGTCAGTGAATGTCTCACAAAAGAGCTTTGGGAAATAGTCTATTCCTGTATTAGGAATGACTCTTAACCCTACCTGAAAAGGGTAAGAACATCAAAACAGTGCACATTTTTTCCTTGTATTTTGCATAAATCTCCAGAAGGAACTGGTGTATTTGTTACCTTCAAGAAGGAAACCCGATGGCCAATGATGGAGTGACTTTTGTACCCTCTGAACATTTAGCATGTGAACATATTGCCTATTCAAAATAAACATCGTTTAAAAAATATCCTTGAAAACTCAGGCTGGGGGTTTCAGAACCAGTTTCTCGGTTCTGGCCCCACCTCTGCCACACAGTGACTAACCCTAGACAACTCACTTAATCTCCCCAGGCCATTTCCTCCCCTGTAAAATATGAGTGTGCTGAACCAGCCATCTGCAAGGCTCCTTTCAGCTCCAAATGTCTACGACTCTAGACTCCCCAGGCAGATGAGGGGAGGGATGGGACAATTTTGGAGGTTTGAAAAAGTCCTTTTGTAAATACTGGCCTGGGGGGGGAGTTGCTTACTCAGCCAGAAGCCACCCCCTTCCTGAGGCCAAGGTCTTTAGAGCAAGCTGGCCAGGACTGTTCTGCAAGCCAGGAGGAAGACAGGAGATGCTGGCACAGGGGAGTGTGGTCAACAGAACTTGGCTTTCAGAGATATATGAACCTGGGTTCAAATCCTGGGTGACCTTGAACTATAGTCATTTAACCTCTGAGCCTAGATTTCCTCATCTATAAAATATCAACTTCACAGGTTTAAAGGATTACAAGAGATTACATATTAAAATAAAAGCACTTGGCATAAAGAAGATATCCAACAAATGTTTGCCAGCTTCCTTCTTCCCTCCCTTCATCAAAGTGGGTAGGACACCTGGGTTAGTTTATATGCCTTAATTGGTTTTCTTATGCAAATCCATGAAACATGGACATCTCCAGCTGGTTGTCCTCCTATCTCTGTTACTGCAGACCCAAGACTGCACTGTACGTAGGCTGTTCACGCCACTGGAGTTGGAAAAACACCCACCTAACTTAGCCTGCTTCAGACTTCATGTCTGTATGGGAAAAACTGTGCCCTTTGGGAAATGGCACAGTGGGTCTCCATCTAGTAGGCAGTGGAGTAGGGAGGTGGGTGAAGGGAGAGATGGGGGTCAGCACTTCCCAAGGCTGGAAGCGGGGAGCAGGGCTTCAGGGCACAGGAGTAGGTGTGAGGAATCTACTTTTAGGGAACTCAGATACTTTCTCCAAGACCCCAGGCACTGAACCTTGATTTTCTCATTCATAGAAACAAAGATGAAAATCTCTGCATCACAGGTTTTCTGTAATGATTAGATCAGCTACCTAGGAAATATTCTGTGAATACTGTTTTCCTTCCTCTATTCTTAAAAGGAAGGAAATAAAGGCCTTCAGAGAGGAGATACATTCACACAACTACCTTGTAGATCATGGATCTGCAGAGATTTAATTGATGTACAAAACATAGTATTGTTACCCAAGATGGTTGTGACACATATGCTAGTCCCAAAGAACACAGAATCAACCAAATAACAAAATGGACTTTTTTCTGTGTGGTAGACTAATGACAAAAGCCTATGGGATTAGGTTGGGGGTGGGGGCGGGGGTAAAAAGCCAAGGATCTTAGTTTCTTATTCCATGGCACAAAGAAATTAGTAGTGGGATGGTAGAGAGTTTGTTTCTAGGCATTGGAGAGGCAAGGGCAACCCCACAGCTTCCAAGAAAAATGGGGACATTTAATTAAAAAATAAGATGGACGTCAGAGAATACCCTCTGTAGTCCCAGAGAGCCAGCTGATGAGAAGTGAGGCTCCAGGAAGCTGTGCCAAAATGACACAAGACCCCTCACTACCAAGGCCAGGAACTGACCCAGCCCTTTACCTCCTTCAGAATGAGTCTCCAAGCTCTGAAAATGGGCAGCAGGGGACGGGCACAGGTAGAATAGATAGATGGAAACAATCTGTGAATATACCCAAGGAGGGGAGAAGCGAGATGAGGACCAGACGCCAACCCAGACTTTTCCTATGGCTTGTTGTCTTCCTGAAAGTTGTGTGCTTGAGATCTGAGAAGCTAGCTGGAAGAGCTCTGGGCAGGAGGCCCAGAGAAAGGAAAGGGGGTGGTACTGAGGACAGCCCCTGAAGACAGCATAGTGCCAGCAGAGGGACGACAGGTGACAAAACTCTGGTTGCCTCCAGCAACCTCTGGCAGGGCTCTGGGCCCAATCCTGAGATAGTTAAAAGGAGAAACAGAAGGATCAAGAAAGAAGACATTTTAAAAAAGAAGAAAGGAAGGAAAGGCAGGAGGGAAGGAGGAAAAAGAAAGGAAAAGGGAAGAAAAGGAAAAAGAAAAGGAAGGCCTGCTCTCTATGAGGCTGAGGTATTGGAGAGACAGAGGCTGGTCGCAGGGAACAGACATGCTGGGGGCTTTGTTCTGGTGAAGAAAGGACCGCACACGTAACTGAGAAATGCCCTGTGGGTACAAGGGATCAACTTGGCTCCAAAGGGAGTCCCTAGGCCTTTGACATCAACTCCTCTAATACCCCCTTCCTGAAGGTACCCATGTCCCAAGTGCCCCACACCAGTGTTGCCATGTCCATGCAGGAGAGCTCAGAGAAGTCCATGTATTTTGGCCTGAGACCCATCACATGATCACTGCATGGCTCACTGTTTCCAGTTGTACCCTCCTTTCCCCCAGCCCACTTCCCCCAACTGTAGTTCCTCCAAGTTTTGAGCGGGGCAAGCAGCAAAGAGGGGACAGGAGAGTGCTTTATCAGCGGAAATAAAGTGCAGGGCCTCCTCAGGCACTTGGTCTGGGTGCAGAAGGCGCCAGGTGTCCCAAACGCCTGGGCCTCAGGAGCGATAGATCTTCAGTCTGTTGTTCTGATCCAGGCCCAGCTGCTGGAGGCCCAGAGTGGCTGTGGGTTTGTGCACCGAGAAAAGATGTCTGGCCACAGGGTTAAGGAAAACTCTAGAGTCAGCTGGGCACCAAGGAAGGGCCATGGAAGGAAGAAGGGTTAGAAGCTAAACAGGATCCTCATTGGACCCCCAGGGTACAAACACAAGCCATGCAGCCCAGCTCAGCCCTCCCAGGAGCTACAGCAGGAGGTGACCAGGGTTTGAGAACTGGCTAAAAGGATACAACTTGGGATCACTCTTGTAACGTTCTAGCCACTTCAGGTTAGCCTCAATCATGCCCTGAAAGTTGGTGCTGCCCACGTGGGAGATGTGCAACTGAGGCTGGGGCAGGAGGCGGAGCTGCTCACTAGGAAGGGGAAGGGGGTGGGCAGAGGGAGGGAGGTCGTGATACAGCCAACCACAGGCTATCAGTCTGCCCCTCCCTCTTCCTCTCGGCGTACCAGCTGCAGACTTTTCGGGGTCTCTTAAGCAATTCAAAATTTCGTCTACTGGCAGGATGCCCTTGTGAATGTTCCCACCCCCTCCTGGGTGAATACTCCTGATATCAAGGCTCCAGGCTCCCACATCCATGGTTTCTGGACCAATCTCATCAGCAAAAGTTCTCCCCAATGTCAACTCAAATGCCTTCCCAGCATCAGCTCCCAAATTGGTTAAAAGGGTAAGTGTGGGGGGTCAGGGTACTTATGGTCGAGAGCGCTGAGGGGGCGGGGGGCGCGGCAGGATCCATTTTGCAAGGAATAAGATGAATGAGAAATAACAGGCTTAAATAATTGCCCATCTGTCTCCCTCGCAGGGCGCCCCTCTCACTCCAGATGCTGCTCAGTAGGACTGGGGGAAGAAGGGAGCTGTTGGAGGCAAAGACCTGGATGACAAAGACAAAGGCCACACTCCAGCGCTGAAGGCGCCAGTGGGAGGGCAGTGTGCAGGGTCAGGCCAGGGGTTGGGTTCTCCCCACAGGTGCCACAGGGCACTTCCTCCTGGAGCTGGGCCAGGTACGTCCAGCCACACCCGCACTGGGACTTTCCTCTGGTTGTGTATGGAGGAGCACCTAAGACCCAGGCAGCTTTGGTGGGCTGGGGGCCTGCCTGACCTGTCTTGGCATGACCATGAGTTCTGCTCCCCTCCGAGGTCCTACCAGCTCAGGGAGATGCAGTAAGCAGCTGAGCTGTGTGGTTCCCCACTGAGCCTACCTGGAGTCTTACCTGGCAGACACGTACCCCAGCCTGTTCTCCAAGGGGGCAGGACCACTGCTGAGGATTGGGACCCCAGCTGGAAAGTGGGAAGAAATCATTCACATAGGACAGTGGGTCAGCTGAGCCAGTGCTGGGCCCAAGCAGGCCACCTCCCTGCTCCCCAGCACCTCTGCCTCCCCAACACTGAAAAGGCAGTGCCCCCATAACATAACAGAAGCAGGGAAACTTTCAGTAGTTGGAAGTGAGAGAAAGGTGATGGACGGGAATTACTCTATTTTATTTCTAAAACTTAATCTACTTTTCTGTTTGGGTTGGAATGTGGAGTTGTAACTTTTTCTCCTCAAGCAACTCTTTTTTATGGCTTTTCACATTCCTTGACCGTCCAGTGGCACCAGGGGAAGCCAGCCTTCCCAGATATAGGAAGCAGCCAAGGGTGACAAACAGAATCCTGAAGTCACAGAGACTTGCAGTCAAAACCCAGTCTGTTGCTCCCTTACTGGGCATCCAGGAGCATATTATTTAACCACCCTACGTCTCAGTTTTCTCATCTGTAATGTGGGGATAAATAATAACTACCTTAGAGGGTTATTATAAGGCCTAAATCAAAAACTTTATATAAAATGCCTGGCCTACAATATAATGCACACCATGGCAGCTACTGCAATGATAATGACGATAAACTTTTAGGTTCAGCTGAGCTCTGGAGTCACAAAGAGCCCAACCAGCCAAGTTCCAGATACACCATCGTGGCCCACAGAGCCTGCAGCTGCAGGGCAGCCGGAACAGCCTCCTCCCCGGGGACCCACAGTCAATGGATCAGCGAACCAAAGCTGGGGGTGGGGGAGGACGAGGAGTGGGAGAAAGAAGGGAGAAAATGGAAGAGGAGGAGGAAGGCGGGAAGGCTCAGTCCAGAATCATACAGTGGCCCAGAAGGAAGCTTACTTGGAAAATATTTGCGCCACTTCTCTACCAGGAAGTCATCCACTGTTTGAGTCACTGAGGAGGAGAGCCTAGGGCCCAGGCCTGGGGACCAGGCCCACTGGGTGGACATGGCTGTGGTGGGGGAGGAGGCTGAGACCCGGCCCAGGGAGGTGTGGGTGGAAATGAGAGCACTCCTGCAGGATGGGGGCGGGATCTGGGCTGGGGTGGAGGTGAGGAGTGGGGGTGGCGGCTGAGTGTTGAGGACACCCAGCATGCAGAGGACATCATTTAGCTGGCTGCTAATCCGCTTCAGGGAGCTGTCCAAGTAGTGGATCTTGTTGAGTAAGGTGGGGCTTGCAGTCGGGCTGACTGAAAGGGAAGAGGCAGGAGGACCCAGGTTTCAGGCACAGGGGTTCCCCAGGCCCTGTTGGCACTGTGGCGCCCTACTTGCCCGCCCCTCCCTGTTCCTCCAGGCAACAGCCCCTCGCCTTGATTGGGAGACTGGGGGATGGCAGGGCTTCTGTGTCCCAGACAGGGCAGATGGGAAGCTGGCCCCAAGAAACAGGTTCTCCAGGGCACAGTCCTGGGGGGAGGGGTGGGGGAGGGCCCTCTCCACTTCACAGGCCAGAGTGGCAGAGGGAGAACAGCCTCCCAGAAGGTAGCACTCGGAGGGAGTGGTAAACAGGGACACCCCTCACTGTCGAGTACTCTGCACATCCAGAAGGCTCCCCCAGACCCTTTGGGCCCTGGGGACTAGCAAATCCAGACTAGTTTACTCCTCCCCAAGCATTTACTGAGAACCTGCTCCAAACACCAACTCCCAGAGGCTAACCCACACAGAGCTGGGGAAAGGGACTGCGCCCCTGTTCCCCAAGTTCCTCCCTCTCCATGGAAACTATGGTCCTCCCCTCCCTCTCATCCCTACTACCACCACTCACTGTGAGGCAAGGGGCCAGATTCTGAACTTTCACTGCTGGTGTTTTCAGAGCTGCTGAGGTCGAAGGTCACCACTTTCTTGGTGGGGGCTCCTCTCAGTGTGTCCTCATCTGCAGCCTATGGGGAACAGCAGCAGTTATGACTGGTATTCTCCCTGAGCTCTCTGTCCATTGCCCTGGCAATGTCAGGGACTGAGTACTAGTGTGCGGGTTCTCTGGGACCCAGAGTTCTGTGAGAGGCACACCACACAGGCTGCCTTGCAGGGGGTAGGCGGGAGGCTAAGCTAACAGAGCTGAACCATTGGGGACACAGGCAGTAGGGCCACCAGGACCAGAGAAACATCCACCCTTTCCCCCAATAACCTCCCTGCAATGTCTCTCCATCTAAGCTTCCCTCCCACCACATCCATGCATCAGGCATCCAGGGGAAAGTCTACAAGGCACAGGGAAGATCAGGAAATCTCCTAGGTGCACATATTCCCAACACCCCAGGAACACCTGTCCTTGGGTGCCACGGCAGGGGAAGGGGGAAGGGCTAACTCCTCTCTCAAGAAACTTCAGCAAGAGAACATTTAAGAAAGAGCCAACCCCTTGTCCTTAGACTATTCCAAAAAAAATCCAAGAAGAGGGAAGACTCCCAAACTCTTTTCATGAGGCCAGCATCATCCTAATCCCAAAACCAGATAAAAGACACAACGAAGAAAACTTCAGGCCAATGTCTCTGATGAACATAGACACTAAAATCCTCAACAAAATATTGGCAAACCGCATCCAGCAATACATTAAAAAGATCATCCAACCATGATCAAGTGGGATTCTTCCCAGGCATGCAAGGATGGTACAATATTTGCAAATCAATAAACATAATACATCACGTAAACAAAAGAAAAGACAAAAACCACATGATCATATCAATGGATGTGTAAAAAGCAACTGATAAGGTGCAGCATCCATGTATGGTAAAGACCCTCATCAAAGTGGGAATAAAGGGGGCATACCTCAACATAATAAAGGACATATATGAAAAACCTACAGCCAACCTCATACTCTACGGGCAAACACGAAAAGCTTTCCCACGAAGACAGGGAACAAAACAAGGTTGTCCGCTTTCACCACTTATATTCAACATGGTACTGGAAGTCCTAGCCACAGCGATCAGACAAGAAAAATAAAAGGCATCCAAATTGGAAAGGAGAAAGTAAAACTGTCATTATTTGCAGATGACATGACAGTGTATACTGAAAACCCCAAAGACTCCACCAAAAAACTACTCAACCTAATAAGTGAATTTGGCAAAACAGGGGAATACAAAGTCAACATTCAGAAATCAAAGGCATTTTTGTACACCAACAATGAAATGTCAGAATCAGAAATCAGGAAAAAAATCCCATTTGCTACAGCAACAAGAAAAAGAAAGTACCTAGGAATAAACTCAACCAAGGAGGTGAAAGACCTGTACTCAGAAAACTACACAACACTGAAGAAAGAAATCAAGGAAGATGCAAATAAATGGAACCATATACCATGTTCACGGATTGGAAGAATTAACATCATCAAAATGCCCATACTATCCAAAGCAATTTATACATTCAACGCAATCCCTATTAAAAAACCAATGACGTATTTCACAGATACAGAACAAACATTTCAAAAATTTATATGGAACCTTAAATGACACCGAATAGCCACAGCAATTTTTGAGAAAGAAGAACAAAGTAGGAGGGATCACAATACCTCACATCAAAGTATATTACAAGGCCGCTGTAATCAAAACAGTCTGGTGCTGACATAGGAACAGCCACATAGATCAATGGAACAGAAGAGAAAGCCCAGAAATCAACCCATGTCTCCATGGTCAATTAATATTCGACAAAGGGGACAGAAGCATAAAATGGAGTAGAAATAGCCTCTTCAACAAATGGTGTTGGGAGAGCTGGACAGCTACATGTAAAAAATTGAAACTAGACCACCAACTCACACCATACACAAAAATAAACTCGATGGATAAAAGACTTCAATATAAGTCACGACACCATAAAAGTCCTAGAGGAGAACATAGACAGGAAACTCTCAGATATTCCACACAGCAATGTTTTCACCGATATGTCCCCCAGAGCAAGGGACACAAAGGAAAGAATAAACAAATGGGACTCCATCAAATTAAGAAGCTTCTGCATGGCGGAAGAAAACATCAACAAAATGAAAAGGGAACCAACCATATGGGAAAATATATCTGCCAAAGATACCTAAGACAGGGGTTTGATCTACAAAATATATAAAGAACTCACACGACTCCACTCCAGGAAGACAAACAATCCAATTAGAAAATGAGCAAAGGACCTGAACAGACACTTCTCCAAGGAGGAGATACAGAGGGCCCAGAGACATATGAAAGGATGCTCCTCATCACTAGCCATCAGACAGATGCAAATTAAAACCACAATGAGATACCACTTCACACTAGTCAGAATGGCCATCATAAAAAGATCAACAAAACAACGGGTGCTCGCGAAGTTGTGGAAGAAAGAGAACCCTAGTCCACTGTTGGTGGGAATGCAGACTGGTGCAGCCACTGTGGAAAAGTGTGGAATTTCCTCAAAAAGCTAAAAACGGAACTGCCTTTTGACCCAGCGATCCCACTGTTGAGACTATACCCTACGAATCCTAAGACACCAATTCAAAAGAACCTATGCACCCCAATGTTCATAGCAGCACAATTTACAATAGCCAAGTGCTGGCAGCAACCGAAGTACCCATCAGTAAATGAGTGGATCAAAAAACTATGGTACATTTACACAATGGAATACCACACAGAAGAGCTACCACCCTTCACAACAGCATGGATGGAACTGGAGAGCACTATGCTAAGCAAAATAATCCAGGAGATGAAAGACAAATACCATATGATCTCACTTATAAGTGGAACCTAATCGACAGAACAAACAAGCAAGGAAAATATAACCAGCAACAATGAAAGAAAAAAGAAACCAACAGTAATGAGAGGGAAGGAGGGAGGAGGGTAACAGAGAAAAGAAGGGAAAGAGTTAAATCAAGGAACATGTATAAAGGACCCATGGACAAAGCCAGAGTGGGGAAGGATTGAGGGTGGGAGGTAGGGGTGGGTGGGGCAGGTGAAAGTGGTGGCAGGAAAATGGAGACAAAAGTATTTGAACAGTAACAAAAACAAAACAAAAAAATGAAAAGAAAGAAAGAAAGAAATTTCAGCAAGAGGCTCCAGTCTCTCAGAACCACTCAGCACAGACAACCAAACTCAAAGCTGAAGCCATTGCCATTTTCACCAGCCCATGAAGCCAAAGCCTACTGCCAATCCTGGCCTTAGAGGCTCAGTGTCCTCGACACAGGACCAAAGAACCCAGCGTATCCTGGGAACAGAAAAGGAGGCTATGGCCACACACGGCTATGTGGCCACAGGGCTGCACCTCTTCCTGAAGAGAGGACTCCAGCTGATTCAGCTTCTCCTCCTTCTTCTTGAGCAGGTTGTGGCCTTTCCGCATGGCTGACTGCATCTCATCCAGGTGCCTCTCCTCCTGCATTCAGGGAGGAAGGGGGGAGAAATGTGGGGACTTCCACTCAGATGCTGTAGTCCCAGCTTTGCCATTTGTCAAGTGGGTTATCCCGAGAAGATTACTTAACTCCAGTCTAGATTCTCATTGAAGAAAGAGAAACACTACTTTCCCTAGGGTGGTGAGAATTAGTTAAGGGTATATCACATGCTTAGCACTACACCCATATCTAATTAAGTTCTCACATGGTCACTGTAACCGAATGGTTATCATCACTGCTCCAACTACCACTACAGTCATCATTGTGGCCACTGTCATCAGGAGGGTACAGCAAAGCAGTGATAGGCCCGGAGCGGCACGCACACACCCGTGGGAAGTCTGCACTTTGTGTGAGCCTCCTGCCTGCTGCTCCACCATCCCCAGCCACGCGTGCTCACAGCTCTGACACCAACTGAATTTAAAGAGACCTCAAACATCTGTGATCCCAACTAACAAGAGCCATGACGTCTCTGGCTCTTCGATATGAATCAGGGTATCGAAGAAGTTCCAAAGAGAAATCACTCGGTCTTTGCTGAGTGTATACTCAAAACATTTTCAGTCATCAGTGAAGTCTTTAGGGTGATGGAATGGAGGAGCGAGGCCCTAAGTGCGAAATTTTGAAAAACCTTACTTATACCCTTCACCTAGGAAACAGGAATAACACCACCTGTCGTGCGTGCCATCTAGGGTTGCTGTGAGCACCAGGCGGCTCACGACCAGAGAAAGCACTCTGCACACTGCACACTGCGCACTGCCTCGGGGGTGTATGGTGCTCTCACCCTCGTAGAGATCCCTAACCTTTGTCACCTGTCCAGTTGCCCTAGAGGACCTGTAACTGCACAGGTCGCCACTGTCCTGGGAACCCCAGAATGCTCCACTGAGGGCAAGCCCCAAAATGAGTGTGGCCCTGGCCTGCCCTCCCCCGGGACTGCCGGGCCCGGCCTCCAAGCTCCTGACCTCCCGCAGGTCCTTCCGCACGTCCTCCAGGGCCTTGGTGCCTAGCGGGTCTTTGGCTGCACCCGGAGCACTGGCCAGCTCATGGCACCAGTGCTGCTGGGCGGCTTTCAGAACTATCTGCCGCCTCCGCATGGAGTGTTTCTGCCGCACCAGGAACTCCCTGGCACTGCGGAGAGCTACCCCCTCGGCAGAGAGGTAGTGCCGGAAGCTGTGGGAGGACAAGGTGGGGAGGGAGTGGAGGGTTGGGTGTGGAGAGGGCCAACAAAGACTCTGAGAGCCCTTGCTCTGGGTCACTTGACCACTTCCCCAGCAGATACCCATCCTGAGCACAATTGCTGGGCTGGGCCTGGACAATGTATAGGAATACTACAGCAGGCAGCATGTTGCACTGAGTCCTCCCACCCTGACTCTGAAAGGACTCCACATGGATGGCCAGACACTGCCTTCATCCTGACCCCCAACCAGGGATCAGCGGATCAGCATGCTATGTCCGCAGTCACAGTGACCATCTACTTGGCTTGCCAGAGAAGATTCCGCAGTCTCCCAACCCCCTTCCCTGAACCAAGCCCCCCTGGTGACTGCTGTCACCTCATTTCAGGTCACCCCAGCTCTGTGACACAGGCACTCACCCCTTCATGGCATCCTCAGCCCCAATAAAGACAGGCTATCAGAACTCACCTGTCCAGGGACAAGTCAGTGTCTTCCTTGCTCTGGGACAGAGAAGAGGGTACCTCTTCGGTCTGGCTCTAAGGACACATGGTAGGAAAGACCCACTAAATGCAACACAAACAGATACACTGCAGGCTCAAGGGGCACTGAACCCCGCCCAGGGTCAAGACACAGGCAGCTTTGCTGGCTGTTGGGCACCATTCACTCACAGATGGAAATGGGGCACTGGGAGTGACAGGCACAGGAGGTTAAGGCCATATACGAAGCAGCGCCAAGAGCCCTCCTGGCACCCTACCGCTCCTGCTGCCCCAGCCCAGCCACGCTGTCCCTTCCAAGACAGAGGAAAGCTCACAGTCCTAAGGGATTTCCTCAGGTCCTCGATGTGGAGATCCGGCTCCAAGCATGGGGAAGCACTGCTCTTCTCAACTGCCAGCTCTTTCAATGTGTCCTGCTTCCTCTGAGCTTTGGCTTCCAGGTCACTGTTGTGGAGGACAGTAGTGGGAGTTGCAGGGAGGTGAGGCAAGGTCACGTGATGGAGCAGACCAGGCAGCACACTGTCGGGACCCTTGGGCAGACTTCAAGCCCCAACGTCAGGTAGAAAATGAGACCATCCCTGTCCCTTCACTCCTGTCAAAGTCACTGAGGCAGGGCTGGGGCATGAATGGTAAAAGCAGGGACCCGAGCTATTCACAGCCTCCTAACACCCCCCTCTCCCTACAAAACAAAGCAGACAGAGCCTGGCTCTGCCTCCACCAGTTAACTGGGCCATGAGTAGACAGGGTTTGTGAGCAACACAGGTCAGAGGGCATTGGGTGGCTAAGTGCAGAGTGTCCACACTACCTGATGTGCTTCTGCAGCCTCTGAGTCTGGGTCTGCAGAAGATCCACCTGGGATTCCAGCTCCAACTTGTGGGTCCGAAGCTCACTGAGAATTCTTCGGAGCTGCTGGTTTGACTCCAATAGGTGGGTGTGCTCCTTCTTTGCCTCTTCCAGCTGCTGATGGGTGGCTGTGACTTCCTGGGGCAGAAGAAAAGACAGAGGCACCTGGAGAAACAATGAAGAGAAGGCAGGGAGCAGACCACCCTGGACACCAGGGATCCTGAGGAGCAGGGGAGAGAGGGCGGGACTGACATACCAAGGTCACCATGTCTTCGGTCAGAGGGTGTGCAGGCTTCTACCCTCCCCCCACAGCCCCACTGCCTGCGGTTCCTGAGTTGTGGAATAACCCCAATGCCCTGGAGAGGTCAAGTGAACAAAAAGTGGTGTGCTGCCGGGAGAGGAAAGGAAGGGAGTGGGGACAGACAAAGGAGGGATGCCAAGAGTCAGACAAACCTCGCTCTCCAGCTCAACCTGCTTCTTCACGTCAAGGAGCTGCTGCTTCTCCTTCCGGACAGTCTCCTCCCGAGGGGGTGAGGAAAAAAACGGGGCCCCTTGGCCAACTCCAGGCCCCAGGTGAGAGGGCAAAAAGGCCCATCCTCTCTTGGGGGAGCTATGACTCCAAGGTCAAGGGCACCTAGAGATCCTGTCCTCCACTCCCATGCCCTCACCTGAATGTCCAGCTCAGCCACTCTGGCCTTGACTTCTTTGGCTCTGGTTTCAAGTTCTACCTCTAAATCTCGAAGTTTCCTTTCCTGCACAGGAGCAAAGGTGGAAAAAAACATGTAAGTGTGGAAAGGGAACAAGGAATTAGCTGAGGGGCAGGAGGGGTCCTGACCCACCATCCCATGGCACATTCTCCAGATGGCTCGGGCTGCATCATTAGCCCCTGTGGCCTCCCAGAAAGCACCACGCCTTCTTTGTTTCCAGCGGTGGCAAGGAGAAGCAAAAGTGCCAGCCCCGTGGCCCTAGAGAGGCAGGCCTCCTCTTCTAAATCTGGGGATGGGCCCTGGCACAGAAAACAAAGAAGCAGAGATATCCCAGCTCAGGGATGGCCAATGAGAGGCCTTCACTCCTGAAGCTGTCAGGCTCCACCCTGCTGTCCTGCTACCCTAGTACTTTTCCACCCTGCATGGAGGTCAGCCCCAAGTGACTGTCCAGAGTCCCCACCTGCTCCCAGTGCCGATGCCGCAAGTCTTCCAGCCGCCTGTCTTGCTCCTGCCTCACGGTCTCCAGTTCCCGCTCGTGAGCCCTTCGCAGGCGCTCCAGTTCTCCGGTCAGGTGCCCCAGGAGCTCAGCCCGCTGCTTCCTCTCCTGCATGGAGGGTGGGGCCGCCCATGGGAGACGGCAGTGGCCCTCACACCCCTAAAACCACAGCCTCCCACTCCTGCCGCCTGGAGTCAGTCAGATCAAGGCCTCCATCTGTTCCCTGAGGCCAGCTCTTAGAGAATAGCATCAAGGATAGCATGGTCCTGCCCCCTAGAAGTCTGCACCCTGCTCTGCCACTGAGCAGAGGCTGGCCAGATGTCAAGAGGTATCCCCTGTGGGAACCTGCCTCTCCCACGGCTCCCCCACATACAGCTTCCCTCCCTCAAGGCAACAGAGGTCATCGGTAAATGATCTCTATTCTTCGGCAAGGTCACAATTGGTTTGGGAAGGAAGTCCACTACATTTCATCATGGCCTGCTATTTCTGCCCTGGGAAGGACTGTACGAGGAGTCTGGGACACTTGTTCCAGTCCCTGGAGCAGTAGCCTCGACGCCCTGGGCAGAGACCCACCTATGGGCTCAAGTCAGTCACCCCGCCATTTTTCACCCCAATGGAAGCAAGCCAGAGTGAGGCCTCTCAGATAAATGAACTCCCCCCACCCCACCAAGGCCAAGGGCCAAAGATGGGCAGGTACTATGCACACATGGGTTGGCTCTTGCCAGGCTATTTCTTGGTGTTCCAGAATTTCGATTAACCCTGGTAGCATGTTTTGTTAGGGTGGTTAAAACTGAAGGCTTTGAAATCAGTCTAGGCTTGAGTCCTGCCTCCTCTGCTTTTAGCCAGAGGGGCCTTGGGAAAGTTGTTCATGTACCTCAAGTCTCAGTTTCCTCATTTTTAAAACAGAGATAGTGATACTATGTATCTCCTAAGGGTGTTGTGAGGACTGAATGAGTTAATGTACACAAAGAGCTTAGAACAGTGCCTGGCATGTAGCACAAGCTCAACATTAGCCAGCATTACCATGAGGGGAAAGTGCAGCCTGCCTGATGGAGAAGCAGCGCTCCTCATCAAATGGTTTAGTAAAAAGGCAAAAAATGACTCCACCATTTCAGGGGGCCACGGAAGAAAGCCTCTCACAAACCAAGACCACAGTTTTTCCTCTGCCCTAGAGCCAGCTGGGAAAGGCCCAGGTTGTGTGCATGCGGGCACATGGGGGCCCATGCATGCAGAGGGTCGTGGCCGGGTCACCTCGGCTTCATACTGCTCTCTGGCCTCAGCCAGCACTTGCTGGTGCTCCTCCTTCATCTTGTCCATCTTCCTCTCATGTTCCCTTTCCACCTCCTGGCGCTTCTCTCTCAGGAGAGCACTGAGCTGCAGGGATACCACATGCAGAACTGAAGCACCTGAAGGTCTCATACACGCACACCTCTCCAAGGCTCCCACCCACATGACACACACATGGCGATACCCCAGCTACCACCTCCCCACATGCAGGGGGCATGGAGGTGGAGAAGGACCTGGCCTCAAGGGAACTGAAACGTAAGAAGGGAACCAGAAGCTCTAACCCCAGCTGAGCCATCTGAAGCAAAGAGGAGGGCCCTTTGGGCCAGGATGGCCTGGCCAACCAACAGAGCATCCACAACAGCACACAGAAAGTGGAAGAGGCAGACCAGCATTTACCTCTTGCTCGTACTCTAGCACTTGGTGAACTCTGTGCTGCGCTCTCTGCTCCGCCCTCCCCAGGCTTTCCTGTAGCTGGGCCTCCTCTTTCTGCTGAGCTTCCTCTATCTTCTTCTGGAGGCTGGAGACCACCTGAGCAAGCCCCAGCACAGAGGGGTTTCACTCTCCAAGAGCACTATAGTGGCTGGGGGGGGACTTACCTCCCAGGGACCCAGTGCTCCTCCCCTTGGGGCTGTGGCAAGAGAGGCTCCCTACGTCATGGCAGGGATGGGACTATCAGTGAAGGGGTCTTGAGGATGATGCACAAGGACCATCATAACCAGGCTCTGCCTTGCAGGCGTAGCCTGCAGCACCTACCTGTCTATGCTTGGCCTTCAGGGAGGAAGAGAGCTGCTCCAGCTCAGCTCTGTGCTCCCTCTCTAGCGCTGCCACCGCCTGGGGAGCAACAAAGGGTCTGTGAGGGATGCAGGGCAGGGAAGGCAGGCTGGGCACTGACCCTGGAGGAAGGAGGAGTCAGGAAACCCATCCCTGACGCTCTGCACACGAAAAGGCCAAGAGGAAACACAGGAACATCTCTGTTCCTTCAATATAACTCAGTCCCTAAAAGTCTGCAACTAGCAAATGAACAGGAACACGAAGGACAGAGTGGAGGGGCATTGAGGTAAAGCCTCAGGTCACTGCTTCCATGCCCTGCCTCTGGGCTAGGCCACGGTCACTTGGGTGACACTCATGCCTATGAATGTGACCCAAGGCAGGAAGGGCTGGGGGTTTTAGCACCATCTACCCGAGCACTTGCAGTACAATGTTCTCCCCAACGCTGTTGGTGTTTCTCCTTGTCTGAGAGCTGAAGCTCCACCCTTAACCAAAAGAAAACAGAAGTTCCCTGTGGTCTGACAGCTACTGACTTCAGCCTCTTACCTAGAGACAGACCCTCAGATCCAAGGGACAGGGAGTAAGGACAAAGAAGGAAAAAACTCCTCTAAGAGTGCTAACCTCTCATACTAAGGCAGGAAAGGGAGAGAGACGAAAGGCCATCACAGCTGTCCCTCGGGGACAAGGACGGGGACAAGGACAGAGACAAGGCACACTTGTCTCGGGACCTCTGGTCTGCTTTAAGTTCTTTTAGTAATGAAATCTTCCCAAGCCCACAGGCCATTTCCCCTCAAACTTTTCCACTGCCATTGACAACACCCACCTGCCACTGGCCCAGCTGGCCCCAGATGAAGCATTTGGACACCTCCAGCACCCTCAGCTCTGCCATGTGGACCAGGGCTGGCACCTGCCCTGAGACAAGCTGGATCCACATGGGGCAATGGGCGCACAGCCTCTGCATCCATCTGTGCAATTCCCACTCTTTGTCTGGCTCCCCAACCTGCATGCCCAAGGTTGGCTCTTCCTCCACACTCAGTCCCTCCCTAGGCAGCCCAGGGCACGTCCAAGAAGAAGGTCCCAACTCTATTTGCTCACTTCTTCCCTCTCTCCTTCCAGCTGCTCCCTCAGCTGCTGCAGAGCCTTCTCCTTCTCAGCATTCAGGGCAGCCTGCTCTCTCTTCCCCAAAGCCTCCATCTCTTCCTTGAGCTGCTCCAGCATTTGCTTGTTTCTCTGTTCCAAGCTGGCCCTCTCGCTCTTCTGTAGAGACTCCAACTTCTCTCTCATCCTCTGCAGGGAAGCCTCTTGCTCAGCCCTGGCCAAAGAGAAGGAAATGGAGACAGACCTATACGTTCAGGGGTGCCCCCACAGCGCTGGCCAGCTCACGGCAGGCACTCACTTGATCTGGTCCTCATCTGCTTCTGCCTGGGACTGGGCCTGGGCCCGGAGTTGGGAGAGCCTCCGGCTTTCCTCCTCTCTCATCCGAGTCCCCTCTTCCTCAGTGGCTTTCTGTAGCTGCTCCTTCAGAAAACTGGGAAAGAAAAGAAAGGCAAGTTTGCTGGAGGGCCCACAGGTCTTTCCTCTTCTAGTCTTAATCCCCGGCTCTCAGCCTCAAAGACCTGTAGCCTGACTGTGAAGCTTCTAAACTCTTAAAGGTGAGCCTAATCTCAATCTCTGGGTCCTGCTGCCTCCGTGAAAGGCTCCCCAGGGTAAGGAGGCCATGAATTCCACCTGCCCTTTACCTCAGGAAGCAGATTACAGGCTGCCTGGTCCCAAAACAGCATTTCTTCCAAAGGCGCCCCTCTGCCTCCAAGTTCACCTTGGCATGGCGTTCATTCAAGGACACATACAGGCTGACCCCAACCTGACTCTGGTTCCATATCCTTTCACTCTCTACCCCACAGATTCTGTTTTAGCCACATCAGATGAGCCACCACCTCTAAATCCTACCACACTCTTCCTTGCCTCTTGGCCTTTGTTCATGCTGGTTCCTCTGCCTAGAATCCCCTTTTCTTCCTGACAAACCCATATTCATTATTCAGTACTCAGCTCCATCCTCTCAGAGAAGTCTGACTCCCTCCAAGGTCGTCAATCTACTCCCGTGCCAGTCTATACCATGCATCATAGTGCATCATAATTAATCATTTGTAAATCTGTTTTCCTTTCACGTCTGGGAGCTTCTCCAGAGAAAGAATCTTGTCTTAAAATTTGTTATATCCCATGTACCGAACACAGAAACTAACATGAAGTAGGTGCTCAATAAATGTTTGTTGAATTTGAACAGTATCACCAGCTCCAAAATAAAAGCAAGCTTTGATTATCTATGAGGGTACCTTTTTTACAGACCAACGACGGTCAGCATTTCACCCCAAGTGGATATGCTCTGCTCACACAAACCACACCCTCCTCACAGAGGCTCAATGGCCAGGGCTGTGTGCTGGCCGCTCAGGGCACTCAAGCCTAAGAACAAGATGACTCAGAAGACAATTTCTCTGAGAAGCTCCTGTAATGAATTCCAAAGCCATGAAAAATTTAGGACTGTTTCCTATTTCAAGTTATCAGCACCACTGCTCTCTCCTCCATTATGACAGAAAACTTGAGTTAGGTAAAAATCGTTCCTTCTAGATTCCCCAGGAACCCTTTCTCTGTTCTTTGGCTAAGTTTTATGCATAGTACCACAGAATGTTAAGAGCTGGAAGGGTCTTCTGAGGTGAAGACCTTCATTTATAACTCTCTTTCTTCATCTTACAATGAGATCCAATCTCTTCATTTTACATCTAAAGAAACTAATGGTCAACATGAATAGACATTTCTCCAAAGAGGATACGCAAATGGCCAATAGACATGTGAAAAGATGCTCAATATCACTAATTATTAGAGAGATGCAGATTAAAACTGAAATGAGATAGTACCTCACGCCTGTAAGAATGGCTAGCATCCATAAATCAACAAACAACAAGTGTTGACAAGGATGTGGGGAGAAAGGAACCCTTGTGCACTGTTGGTGGGAAGGCAGGCTGGTGCAGCCACTGTAGAAAGCTGTATGGAGTTTCCTCAAAATATTAAAAATGGATCTGCCTTATGATCCAGCAATTCTACTTCTGAGAGTATATCCAAAGAATCTTGAAACACCAATTCAAAAGAATATATGCACCAGAAGCAGCCCAAGTGTCCATCAGTAAATGAGTGGATCAAAAAGGTGTGGTACATTTACACAATGGAATACTATTCAGCAGTGAGAAAGAAGGAACTCTCACCCTTTGCGACAGCATGGATGGACCTGGAGAGCATTATGCAAAGTAAAATAAGCCAGTCAGAGAAAGTCAAATACCATATGATTTCACTCATATGTGGAAATGCTGTCAGAGGGAAACAGAGGTTGCGGGTAAAAAAGCTGAAGATATTAAGCAAAAAAACAAAACAAAACAGAAACAATCTCATAGACACAGACAACAGTATGGTGATTACCAGGGGAGAAGGAGGTGCTTGAGAAGGTAGATGAAGGAAAAGGGGGTATAAATGGTGATGGAAGGAGACCTGACTTGGGGTGCTGAATCATCCCAATAAATTCAATTGAAAAAAGAGAGAGAGAGAGAGAAAGAAACTAAGGGTCAGCCTGCCTGCCTTCCTGCCTGACTACTCATTCAAGAAATATCCGCCTTACACCCTGGCTGATGTGGCTCAGTGTATTGAGCACTGGCCTGCGAACGCACCAAAGGGTCACTGGTTCGATTCCCAGTCAGGGCACATGCCTGGGTTGCGGACCAGATCCCCAGTAGGTGGAGTGCAAGAGGCAACCACACATTAATGCTTCTCTCCCTCTCTCCCTCCCTTCCCCTCTCCTCTAAAAATAAAATCTTAGAAAAAAGAAAAAGAAATACCTGCATTACAAAATAGTCAAGGATATAAAGTACAGCATAGGAAATATAGTCAATAATATTATATTAACTAAGTATGGCGCCCATTGTATGGGTACTAGAAGTACCAGGAGAAACACTTTGTAAAATATATGATTGTCTAACCACTACGCTAAACAACTGAAACTAATACAAAATAATATTGAATGTAAACTGTAACTTAACATTTTTTTAAATTGAAAATAAAGAAACAATTTGCTATAAGGTGTGGCTTCCAGAAATTTCTACCAAGTGGAAGCTTCCCAGCAGAGAGGCCCCACCTCTCAGGAAGGCTCATGTGTAAACAAAAACAGGGTTCTCATGAAGAACTTTTTTGAAGAGACCCAGGCAAGGCCCTGCCCACAGAGATGTCATTTAGTAAAGACTGCTGAAACTATATTGATTTCAACTGAAAGTAAAAACAAGAGCTACCACCTGTTGTGACTACTGTGCTACAGGTCCTGAGGCAGATACCTTTGGCATGCTAGTCTTCACCAAAACCTAAGAGGGCTCTGGACAGCCCTCTGGAGTTGGGGGTTTGGGGAGGATGGAAAGCACAGTCAGCTAAGCTTCAGAAGAACCAGGAAGGGAGGGGGAGCCTGGTGGACTGACAGGGAAACACTGCAAGGATTTTCTTCTAGGCACTGCCTCTAAAGGTGAGGTGAGCCCCACCCTGTTTGGGTCAATTTTCAGTTGGCTGAGAAAGGAGGATGCTACGGAGGGATCTGTTCTGTGGGATGCTCTCTGGCAGGGGATCTGGGCAGTTGGGGGGTTGATTTAAGGATGGACCCTGGCTCAGAAGATCCTGTGTTGGGCTAATGAGAGAGATTGTTCCCAACCCTCTAGAGAGTCGATATTGGTTGCCTGTTAGCTTCTCTAAATAAAGCATGTGTATATACTCCTTGTTATTTATAATATAAAAAAAAAAAAGTAAGTCTCTACCACTTTTGGATGCTCTAAGAGGTAAGATTTAGATGTCAGCTAAATTGCCAAGTAAGTGAATTATATTAACACCTTTTCATAGCACTTTTCCCACCCTGCGATTGTGACAGAGGTTACTTATTATCTTCTCAATATCCATTCTACCATTTTCCTACTAACAGAACCGTGATTTTATTCTATCAGGTAAAGACATCTAGCTAAAGGACTACATTTCCCAGTCTCCTTTGCAACCAGGGATAACCAATGAGATTTAAGTGAAAATTATCAGGTTGAGTTTCTAGGAAAACGCCCTTAATGGGACTGAAGGCGCTAGAAGGAATCCCCTTTTATACTCTACCCCTGTTCTTCCTGCCTGAAGCATAAACATGATGGCTAGAGATCCAGCAGCTACACTGGACTGTGAAGAGACCCTGAGAGTAAAGTCCTGCACTAAAGAAGTAGAGATTAAGAAGACAGGGACCCGGTGACTCTGGGGAGCCACTATGCCAACTCAAGACTTCCTGTTCTTATAGAAATAAACCTTTAGGTTGTTTATACATATATACACACAATCACATATATACAGGCCCAGCCCAGGCTGAAGTGTTTTATTTGTCTAGAGCCTCCCAGCCAAATACTCAAAGAGCAGAAACCCAAAGAGAAACCAGTGGGTCCTGGGCAAGAGCACTTCACACTGCATCATCACGTGGCCCCACCAATGATACTGGGTCCCAGCAGGGACCTGACTCCCAGGAAAGATGACACATAGTAATTAAGAAAACAGGCTTGAGAGGCAAGCCTCCTGGGTTAAGCTGACTCTGCTGCTGCTTCTCAGCTTCCATACCTTGGGCAAGTTGACCTAACCTTTTGGTGCTTCAATTTCTCCGTCTATATTATAGATTCTGTGAAATGGAGTTGATAATAACACCTCATAAAAGCTGTTCAGAAGACTAAACAAATTAACAGATATAAAGCCCATGGACACCCTGGCTGGTGTGGCTCCATGGAATGAGCGCTGGCCTGTGAACCAAAAGGTCGCTGGTTCAATTCCCGGTCAGGGCACATGCCTGGGTTGCGGTCCAGGTCCCCAGCTGGGGGCGTACAAGAGGCAACCTGTCAATGTTTCTCTCACACATCAATGTTCCTCTTCCTCTCTTCCCTCACCCCTCTAAAATATAATTAAATAAATTAATGAACAAACATGAAAAAATAAAAAAGCTCACAGAACACCATAATCTCTCAAAAAATCTTAGCTGTTCCCATTATGATCGTGCCACCCGACTCCCTGCCAAAAAGAGGGGTGTCATGAGCCTTGGCTAGGGAGCCCATTCCTCCACACAGGCCACCAAAGAGGAGTCTTGATGGGACTGTGGGCATCCCACTGGTCTCCAGGGTGGGAGGAGGGTTTCTCTTGCTCCAAATGTCACTGCCAGGCCCCAGGTAGCTTGTCTAAGGAGAGTGGCAGGACCTAAGGGACTTCTCTTTCTGTTGGTGAAGTTGGAGGATCTCGTCCTCCTCCTCCTGCCACAGCTTCTCCCGCAACTGCTGCATCTTCTCTTGCTTCAGTTCCAGTAGCTGCCTCTGGTCTTGCTCCAGTTCTTGGGCCACTGCCTCTTCCATGGCTTTCAAGGTGGCCTCTGAGAGCTGCTTTGGGGGAGCCAGGAGCTCTGGAGATCGCCTACCAAGGATGGGGTCAGGAATAGCATTTCACAAGTTTTAGTATCCACCCACGTTTTGGCATCAAGGTTGTAGAGCTACAGTTCATCACAAACCCTGATGGAGGGCCCATGATCAGGAATCACACATGCAAATCAGGTCACCCAAGGGCAGGCAATAAGGCTTCCCCTCTCAGAGATGCAGGCAGCATCTGTTCTTGAAGACAAGCCCCAGTGTGGCTGTATAAGGCCCCAAAAGCCTAGGGAGAAGGGCAGCCCATGGCAGGACCTGGCAGATTGTGACCCAAGGTGAAGATGGAGCTCAGGAGCTGGCAGCAGCAGGGAGAAATTAAAGCTCCGTCTGTAACAGACTCTTCCCCAGAATGGCTCAAGACCCTGTTCTGTCTCTACCCTAAGGCTCTGCCTGCTGCCTGAGGCTCATGTCAGCAGTTTGGGATGTCCTCAGAGGCTGCTCTTTGCCTCCCAAACTGAAAAGAGGCCCATCTATATGAGTCTGTGGGAAAAGCAGCAGCATCTAGACTCGTCGGTGAAGGTCCAGGAAAGGGGAAATCTCCACCCCACACTGCCAAGGGAGAGAGGCAGGATACCATTCCCTAAGCCAAAGGGAGTAGCAGATGCACAACAGGAATGCCATGCTCCGTATCTCCCCAATGATGCAATGCTTTCATCTACTTAAATTCAGTATTTGGGTAAATACTGAAATGGGTAAAAGAAATTCAGAGCTAACCTGGATGCATAAGGTGGGTGGTAAGATAAGGATTAATGTAACAAGGTTGTTTGTTGCTTGTATGGTGGTTCTTAAAAGAAATACCAAAAGAGAAACCGCAAGGACATTTAAAACAATGAAAGCATAAGCAGGATAAAGTCTGTTACCTCCCAAAGTGGCTTTCCTAAAAGCCAGTATGTGTTCGCACTCCCATGTCCTAGATCTTACGTTAGCAATTGATCTTGCCACACAACCATCACCCTTCTCCCACAGTGCTCAGGCTGTGGCAGGCCTGGCCTGCTGACTCAGCCAATTGCAGCAGCATGTGGGCATAGCCCACATCGAAGTGCACTGGAGCGAAAGTGGCACAGGGGAACCAGTGTCCGTCTAAGGTCACAGAGCCCTCTTCGCCCTCCCGCTCTAGCAGTGCAGCAGATGGAAGGCAGCGTGAGGGGTCAGACTGGAACAGCAGAAGAAAACAAGCCTTTGGAATAATTCCAGTTTGGTCCCTTGAGACCACAGAGAGAAGGAAGACATAAAAGGCCAATGACATCTCTGAAATACCGTGAAAATCTTTCCTTCTGCCGTTCCTAAAATCATAACTCAGACCAGAAACAGTCTTGAGCTATGCTTTCAATTTTCTTCTGCTTCCAGCTCCATCTCCCCCCTCCTTCCAATTCCCAGCTTCCTCTTGGTCCCCCGACACAGCCCAATGGATGCAGATGTAAGAAATGTGGATGCCACCTCCTCTGAGAACCCTGCCCTTGGAAAGAGCCTCCCTCTGCAGCTCTCTGCCTCATCAACCCTCCAACTCATTTCCAGCCTTGGCTGAAAACATCTTTTTTCCCTGAGATGGTTCCTTTTAATGTGTCTCTCCCCTGTGGGCTGTGTAGCTCTGTGGAGCCCTGGGGACAGATGCTGCAGAAAGATATGGCATCCAACAGCACGGCAGCTTGTGCCCAGGCTACATGCACCGGTGAGCTGGCTCACACCTGGCATGTGGGCGCACTGGCCTATTTTTTCAGTGTGCCTCTTCTCCACGTCCTGTTTTAAAGATCTAATGTCCTAAACTCCCAGCTTATATTTCTTGTGAGCAGTCAACAATGAGCCCACAAGAAAGATCTATGAGACGACTGGAAGTTGAAGACCCCAGAGGAAGAGGCGGGTCCAATTCCTAGGCCACTCCTCGGAATCAGCATCGATGAGACCCAGCTTCTACCAGTCAGTTAGTGGTCAACAGGAGGCTCTGTAGGAACATCATCATTTCAGGCTAGCCACCAAGTAGCTCTGAGACATGTGAAGAAAAGCAAGGAGGGAAGGCAATCAGGGAGGAAGAAGAGGGAAGAAAGATCCAGTACCCAGACATTCTGGAATGGCTGTACACCACTGAAACTGGGATCGCAATCCAAGACATCGTGTGTCCTCTCACATTCAACCCAGTGGTTTTAATTCATCTACCATCTACAAACACCTCATGAAAGTCGTGGGCATGACAAAGGGGAGAATATCCCTGTTTCCCAGAGCCAGGCCTCCTGGCCATAAAGTGTGCATGGTGGTGGTTGCTTGTGAGTCCTGCCCATGTTCTCTGCCCATGTTCTCTGCCCTGCCCTTTGCTCCTAACTCCTTCTGATTCAGCTTGGCAACACCTATGAACAGTGACCAACTTCATTCATCATGTTTTTTTTATTTCCTATATTTTATGATGTTTTGACATTCTTAAAAAGCTTGCTGATCAGAGAGACTGCCCCTCCCAGGACTAGCTAATTCTTAGATAGCAAAGGGAGCATGTCTGTCATATGCAAACCAACCTGAATCTATCCCCAGCCACATCCTTATCTAACTCACCCCAAGCCAACATTTCCCTACTCTAAACCACACAGGACCAGGTACCAGGCAACTAGAGACCACCCCCATAACTCAAAACCCACAAAATTATTCAAACCATCCAATGCCACACTCTAAGGTACTTACCCTGCCTCGTCCATTCCTTCCCACGAAAACCCCAATAAAGGCTCTGGACCATGCTCTCCCTTCTCGCCTCTTCTGCCTCCTGAGCAGTGCAGGTCCTTCCCCACATGGCCCTGTGTGGTGTGACATGCCGTCTTCTCTCTGGAAATGTCAGCAATAAATTCTTCTTTCAGTGGCAGTGACTTCTCCGTAAATTAAAATCCCACAGATACAAATGAGACATAGAGCTACTCTCCACAAAACCCAGAAAATCAACCCACTCCTAGTGTAGCTGTAAAGATTAATGACAAGGAAGTTATAGGGTCTGAAAAGACTCAGGAAAGGAACAGCAGACATTTCCTACAGGGACTGTGTAAACTGGTCAAGGAAAGGAAAGTGTCCCTGAGACCTCAGCAGGGGAGAAACACAAAGCTGCCTTGACTTCTCTCACTGCCCAGCTTCACTCCAAGAGGCCTTGAGTAGACCCCCTCTGGTCCTTCCTCTGAGCCACTTGGCCTCCTTCCACAGAAAAGGACCCTGACTGACTGTCCACAGTCACCAAGGAGACTTCAGGGTCAGAGCTGTCACTTTAGGATACATCACCACCTGAAAGTCAGGGCTACCCCTCACCACATCACTCCTGTAGCCCATGGTGATGACATGCGATGGTGAATTCATGTGCCTTGCTGGCTCTTGGTGACAGTTTCTGTAAGTAATCAGTGGATGAGCGTATCTGTGCTCAGTAGTCAGCCCAAATCCTAAGGACTCTTAACTCTTTTGTACCATTTGGTTCACAGACAAGAAAATTGGTATAGCTCTGGCACCCGTCTCTCTCCTTGTAGAAAAAAGGCACAGTGGCTGCACACTAAACATCAGAAGTCTATGGCCAGTGATGAGCCTCAGTCCCAGTTCTGCAGCTGACTAGCAATATGGCCTTGGGCAAATCCTATCTGGGCCTCAGCTTCCTCACCTACAAGAGTGGTGAGGTAGGGGGAGGTAAAAATAGGAAAAGCTGAGGGATTTGTAAGTTTTGGAAGTGCTTCATGAACTGCAAATCCAGGCACAAACAAAATACACCACATACCATCTAATTCTATGAATATAAAGTTGGGGAACTAGAAAAATGAGTCTACAGGACAGAAACCAGAACAGTGATGCGCTGGGGTGGATAGGCTAAGAGGAAAGGGGCATGAGGAAACTCTCAGGGGTAGAAACATCCCTATCTGATCTGCATGGTGGTTACATGGTGTGTACATGTGTAAATATTCACCATACAAGTAAGACTCGCATACTTTCATGTTTAAAAATATTTCAACAAAACTGTTTTGGGGTTTTTCTTTGAGCAGGAATTTTTTTCCCCTCCAATTACAGTTGACATACAATAAAACTTTTTTTCAAGAAAGAGAAAAATAGTGCTTGGTAGAGGGAAAAACATGATTTACCAGGTTTCTGCTAATGACTTCACTTCCACCCTTGTACCCCAGGTCCTGGCAAGGGGGGCCCTGGGACCAGTGATGGCTACTCACAGAACCAAGGGTATACCCAGTCTCCCCCAATTTCACCCCTCAGCTGGGGCCAGAACATCCCTTCCCCACCACCCAAGAGTGGATGGGAAGTAAAGCCTTCCATACGCAACAGAGCACTGGGACAGACACATTAAAACTGGCCCTTACACCTCAGGAGAGACTGGCAGAGCAGGGCTGACCACCACCTTCTCCTTGGGCTCCTCGACCGGGCAGCACTGCTCCTCACCCCTCCTGGAGGCAGCAGGTGGACTCAGGATCTCCTCCCTTGATAGCAGTAAGGAAGCAAATGTGTTCAAGTCAGTGTAAGTGCAAGAGGCTCCCGTAGCATCCCGTTTGGGCTCAAAGAGCTATGATGGGGACAAGGGAGGGAGCCCCAACAGTGTCCCTACCTCAGGTCTTACATCTTACTGCCTCTTCCTGAGCTGTTCGGAATGAGGAACAGACACTCACATCCCAGATGTGACGCAGAATGGTTATGGGACCCAAGGAGAAGTTCTGCACACAGCAGGTGTTCCATAGATGCTAATGATTGAACACTGATGCTGCTCAGCTTCCCCCAGTGACTCATTCCAACTGGATGGGCTCTAAGACCAGCTTCTTTCTCTCGCCAGAACAGAACTAGCAAATATACACCAGGATCCGAACCAGGCAAGGACACAAAGGTCCTCTCCACTGGCTGCAGGGAGGCCTGGGGCTACGCAGCTCCCTCTAGAACACAACAGGACTCTACAGGGGTTTGCTGAACGACTAGAGGTTGGATGACCACTGGGTGGGAGGGGGCTGGTGGGCAGAGACTAGGAGAAATGGCCCATTGCAGGACCAGCACAGCCCTGTAACAGGAGTCTCTGCTCCAGCCCCTGGGAGGGACACGGTTAGGTGAAAAGAGGGCCAGAGACCCCAGCTCATTCAAGAGTTCCTAAGCTGCCCTAATCAGACTACGCACCCCAATTTAGCTACAGACTGAAAACTCAGAAGAGGCCAATTTCCTCACTCTCCAGATCATGTGGGACACTCAGCAGAAACCTGAGACCTGTTACTGCTGCTTCAGCTGCAAACCTGCCCCAGCACTCCCCACTTCTCCAGGCCCACCCCTCCACACCGTCCCTCTCCACCCCAGCACACACAACTACACACAGGACACGGCCACTGCCATTCACTTACCTATGCAGGGAAGCAGGCAGGATGGCACGGCCTGCAGGCACCTCCCCCGGCTCCTCTGCCCCATTCCACTCAGGCTGCCCATCAGGAGCCTGCAGAGGCCCTTTTTCAGTGGCCTGACTGTGAAGGGGACTCTTGAGTCGCTCCCCGTGCAGAAGTGAAGGAGATAACCTGGTTAGACCAGCCACAGCAGCAGAGTCAGGCCCCCTCCATTTAGAGAGCAGGAGGAGAATTGGGAGTGTAGTATGTGGACCTAGGTCTGCTCCTCCTCCAGGCTGGGCCCCAGTCCTGGAGAGGCAGGGAGGAGGGCAAAGCAGCTAGAAGAACAGGAAGGAAAGACTCCTACTGTAAGGAAAGTATTTCCTTTGCCTACACCAGACTTAGCCTTCCCAGGTCCCTGCACTGTATACACTTGTTCCAGAAGTGAGAACAGAACAGACTCTCAGTGTGTCCATTCCCAGAGTTCACCATCACTAGGACCAGGGAGGGATGGAAGAACCAAGCAGAAGTTAGAGAGAAAAAGGGAAGAATGATTCAAGTGGTCAGACTATAGAAAATGCAGGAAGTTGTAGCTTTAAGGAAGAATTCTGATAGCCTTTCAAGGTCCAAAAAGTAGAATGACTGCCTCCCTTCCCCTTCCAGGGTGGCAGCCCTTCTCTCATACAGACTCAGGCCTGAGAAGCTGGAAGGGGACACGGACACACACACACGCATGCACATAGTCACAGCCAGTTCTGATGTGGCAGGGCCCTGGTCAGAGCTCTGTGCTGCGGAACCAACCCTGTATCAGGACTCCAGATCCCTAGCATGCTACTCCAGCGCTGGCCAATGACCAGACTACACACAGTTTAATCCAAGTAGTGATAAGGACAGAGCCCTGGCCCACAGTAGTGCTATGTGCACAAAGTCCCACCAAAGGCACCCAGCAGCTCTTCACATTCCAGTCTTGGTATGGAATCAGGTTTGAGGTGCGTGCACGTGTACATGCACTCACATATACGGACCTTATACAAAGCCATCCATGTCTGCCTTCAGGCAGGAGCACACTGAGCCATGCTGACCAAAGCCAGGAATTGTGCCCAAGTGCCGGCATCCCCGGGGCCCAAGGGTGGCCTCCCACATACTGTACCTCTCTGAGCTTTTGGACTGCTTGCTCTGTAGCTCATCTTGGCTGGATTGGCTGTTTTCCTTGTCTTCTCTTCCCAACCTCTGGGCCTACAGGCAGTAGCAGTAGAAAGTGTATATTGGAGGGGACTGTATTTGGGCTCCTCAGTCCTTCACCTGACTCATATGCCTAGGAGGAAGCACTGGGAGGTGGTTCTTCAGTGGATGAGGGCTACTCAGGATACAGAAGAAGTGGCCTGTTTGCTGTACAAAAAGCCTCCTGGGGTTCTGTCCCAGCCCCTGGGCTCACAGCTGCTCCCAGGGCCGGCATTACAGGCTTAGGGAGGGGGGGTCAGACACTGCAGCCACTGCATGCTGAACCAGAAGGCAGAGGCTGAAGGGAAACACACAAGAAAAAGCAAATCCTGCCCCCTGCAGTTGGAAGCTTTCACTGCCAGCTGCAAAGAGAAAGAGGTATCCATGAACACCCCCTAACCACAGAGGCCCCAGGCCTCAGTGCAAATGGTATACAAAGATGCTAAAGTTAAGCAGGCTGCACTGGAAGTAGCAGACAAGTACACTAAAGAGGAAAGACCCTGGGACGACAGAGTATTGGTGAAACAAGAGAGTGCCATACTCCAAACAAAAAAGGGCACCATGTGAGTACCTGAGGAAGGAAGATAGGGTGCCCCTCTGCTCCATTCTGAGCTGCCCCAGCCACCCAGCTCCCATCAGTGGACCCTTCCATCAAAGATTACACCATCCATCAAAAACAAAACAAACAAATCTCATTTTAAAGCCTGGGCAGCTGGGCAAATTTGGTAAAAAAAAAAAAAAAGGACTATTCTTGATAAACTCAAATATTTCCTTCAGGGGTGGGACCATGGGAGTGTAGTGGCATCATCAGCCTGGCCTCAACCCGCTGTTCTAGCACTGAGGGGGTTCAATTAGATCGACTCTGGGCCCAAAGAAGCCGGCTGCAAACATTAGCTCCCTGCTCACACTTCTCCTCCTCCCCCAGCTGAAGGCAAACAAATGAACAAACAAACAAGCAGCCTTGCCAGAGCCAGTCCCCATTCTAGGACCTGCACTCCTTCTGTCACACTGACAGGAGCCCCGTCTGTCTCAGGACACAAGAGTTAACAGGAGCAGTGAGGCAGGAGACAGCTCACTCCATCTTCCCCAGTGGGACCCCCCCGGCCCTGGGCCCACAGTCTCCTACACCTCTCCACTGGCAGCCCGAACCCCACCAGCTGTGGCCGACTCTGCCATCTGGATGGGTGAGGAAGGTCAGGGCCTGAACTAAAAAGCCAGCTTCCCCGGATTATATTAAAAACAGAAACAGTGCTCTGTGTCCCTCCTGGAGCCCGCAGCAGAAGGGCTCCCTGCCAGCGCTGCCAGCCCTAATCGCATCAGCCTGGGCAGAGCCCACAGACAATAGCAGGGGCGTGCAGTCGTCCTCATGCCCCAGCTCTTCCCTTCCAGCGTTCAACTCACCATTTGCCTTCCTTACAAACCACTTGCCTTCCCACAGTAAATAGCTCCCTCTCTCATTTCTCAAGGAAAAAACCACACAGGCCAACCTACTTAAACAAACTAAAAAGCGCGGTGATCATAATAAACATTTGGAGATTGAGCCCTACGTCAGAAAGAACTAGCTGCAGACAATGTCTGTCTGCTTCCTTCTTGTTTCATCTTCTATGTTTCTGCCAGAAACCCCTGCTGGAGAAAAGAAGGTACCTTGGGAAAGTACCCAGACAGAGGTCCCTCAAATAGGCTTTTACTGGATTCCAGAAGAGGAATCAAAGGGATGAGACAGAAATCATCTTCAGAAAGGGGAGAGAGCAAGCACATTCTCAGCCCCTGGCCTAAGACGGCTAACGACACCATTTTCCCATCCTTACCTCAGCTTCGTGGTTTTGTTCTGTATATGATCCTGTCCCCAGTTAAATAAATCACAGCGCAGTCATAAAGCAGAATGCTCTACAACCAATCAAAAGAGTAAGATAGATCTGAACTCACTTAGAAATAAAGGTCTGTTCTCAAATCTGAAGACCATATTGCCAAGAAGTTTCTGTAGCAGAGTCCCAAATTTTTGTGGGAAGAAAAAAGATAAACAAATAGAAAATAAATACATGCTTACATGTACACAGAAGGATTTCTGGAAAGGTACATGCAAACTGTTAATGCAAACTGCTAATAGTCCCCACCGGTGGGAGTAAGGCTGTAGGAGACTTTGACCATCTGTAGTATGTGAAATAATTTTATGGTCACTTTTGTAATTTATTATGAAATTCACCATGTTTATAACTGATTATAATCATCTTGACTGGTGATGTTTTGAAAGGTATATACATATGGTAAAACTTATCAAATGGTACACTTTAAATATGTCATTTACTATATGTCAATTATATATCTCAATTAGGCTGCACATAATTTAAGTGAACAAAAACTCATCATGCTCACTTCTAAGCCTCTGCACTGGCCTTGGCCTGCGAGAGATCCCGAGAATACAGACCATGGACAGAAGCGCACAGGAAAGACGAGGAGACTGCACCAATGGTTCCAACTGTCCCACAAAGAGGCTGCCACTCATCCCTCCAGCTCCACCTCCCTGCTCAGCCCCTCCATGCCCTGAAGACAGAAGAGAGCTAGAGACCGAGCCCAACAAAGAGCTCTATGTGGTTGTCAGCCAACCGGAGAACCCATGACTGCTCCACACCCCAATGTGCTGGTCATGAGACACAGCTTAGGCTTCCTCTGCCAGAGCTGACTGCCACAGCGGGTGCTTGTGAGAACAAAATCCAAGCCAGGCCCTGCAATACTTTATACAATATCAAGTGCCATGACCCAAAAAGAGGCTGCTAGCCTCATGAGGCTCTAGGCAGGGCCTAGAAATCTGTCTGTATGAAAGCACCCAAGTATTCTGATATTGGCCAGGTTTTGGAGCCAGAGCAATGGAAATACACCCTGCACAGCCAACTCAGTAACTTCCCCACTAACCTCCTCCCATAGGTGCCCCACAATTCACCTGCTATACACCATTCCTGACTAATCCCACCTGCCCTTGGTTGTGTCTTTGCATCCGTCCAGTGCTGCACATGAGGATGACCAATGTGTAGCAGGGACTACTAGGCAGTGGCACAGGAAGACTCGCCAGCCAGAGCTCGGAGGATCACGTCAGGTTCAAATGTACCTGGCTTCACAGCTCTATCTGAAGGGCTCCCAGGCTTGATTTATATTAAACATCTTGTTTGTGTCACCCAAACCAAATTTTCCCTTAAACTTACAGAGGCTGTGAGCCAGAATCATTCTTGTCTCACAGAGAGAAAAGAAGTTTCACAAACTCACAGAGGAGAAAAAAAAATGATCTTGTCTTAACTCTAGAAATGAAACCACAGCATCCTTCCACAGAGCCTGGGGACTGGTCCCTGCCATAGCTCAATGATCCCATAAAGACACAACACACACCCCTAGTCTCTAACCTGCTAGATTCATGCAGTGTTCCTAGAAAAGCCCATAGGCAATGATCTCACTCACAGGCAACTCACACAGCAGTATTAGTAATAAAAGCTAAGTTTATTTAATATTTATATGCTAAAGTTTCACATTCCTTATTCCACTTTCTTCTCATAACATAGCTCCTTAAGAACAGGATCTATGTCTGAGTCATTCTTGTACCCTACTCTAGGTCAGACATCACCCATGCCCACACATAGCTTCTATCTGTCAGGAAGACAAAGAATCATAAAACAAAAGAAGCACTAAAGAGAGCAAAGCAAAGAGATGATGTCAGAGGTAGGGCTTTCAGGCCAAAAAAGAACCTGGACAAAAGGGGAAGGAGCACAGCACACAGACAGTGAAGGAGGTAAGGTACCCAACAAATGGAGAGTGCTGGGCACAGCTAGTGCCCAGTGGGTAGGCTGAGGAGGATAAGGCTGCAAAGGTTGAATGGGCCAGGTTGAAATCCACAATCTAATGTAAAGCACATGAGCAAGTGGTCAACCCTCAGTTGCTAAATGAGTGGATAAGCAGATCAATATGATGAGGGGGGGAATGCCTTAATTCATAGCAGCAACAGAATGGGAATGGTCAGAAGCTCCATCACAGGCAAAGTCAGGGCCATGCTTTAGTAAATTAGAAGGTAGGAAACTCCTATAACTGCATCCTGGGACAGAGAGGACTCAGCTCTGGGTTATCCTAAAAAGTGAGACCCCAGCCCACGACCCAGCCACTCACCTCCCAGTGGGCTCCATCCAGCACCGGGGAAAGCACGTCAACATCCAGCAGGTGCTCTGAGATTCGGCTGCAGGAACCAAAGTCCTAGGGACAGTGGAGGTGAGAAGACCAACTTTCCTTCATCAAAGTCAGCATCCACCAGAGCCTCTCTCCTCCACCATCAACCTTCCAGAAAGGCACATCCTATATGCCAGGAACTGCACTAAATAATTTGATATCTATTAATTTTTTTTAAGATTTTTATTTATATATTTTTAGAGAGAGGGGAAGGGAACAAGAAATAGAGAGAGAGAGAAACATTAATAGGTTGCCTCTCTCACGCCCCCAACCAGGGACCTGGCCCACAACCCATCCATGCGCCCCGACTGGAAATTGAACCGGTGACCCTTCAGTCTGTAGGCTAGCACTAAATCCACTGAGCCACACCAGCCAGGGAAGTATCTAATTATTATGTTCAAAATAACACCGCAACTAGATGGAAAGACATGTGATAAAGCAAGTACGTTAAAATGTTCACTGTAGCCCTGGCTGGTGTGGCTCAATGGGTTGAGTGCTAGCCTGAAAGCGAAAGCGTCGCCAGTTCGATTCCCAGTCAGGGCACATGCCTGGGTTGTGGGCCAGGTCCCCAGTAGGTGGTGCACGAGAGGCAACCACACATTGATGTTTCTCTCCCTCTTTTTCCCTTCCCTCCCCTCTCTATAAAAATAAGTAAATAAAATCTTTTTTAAAAAAATGTTCACTGTAGACTCTAGACAAAAATAAGAATTTTTCTACCCACATACGTATTGTAGAAAAAAATAAGAAAAATTCTTATTTTCTGCATGTTTGAATTTTTTCATTATAAAATTATGAAAAAAAAATTCTGTTAGACAAATACTCTTATCCTCATCTCCCAACTGACATAGCAGGTCTGAGAGCATGCCATTTGCCCAAGGTCAAACACCTAATAAACAGTAGAGCTGCCAGCAGATGTGTCCTGGACAGACTCAAAGCCCAAGCTCTTTGCATGGCAAAGCACGTCACTTTCCAGCTGTCTCTCCCTCCTGCTGTCCAACCAGGCCAGTAGGAGGGAGGCCAAGACACCCAGAAGACATGTGGACAGCTTGGAACAGGCTTGGTAGGCTCCTCCCAGCTTGTTTTCTCTCCTTCCCATACAGGTGCCCCTCTGAACAAGGGGAATTAATCAGCAGCACTTCCTCCACAGGCCTCTCTTTGGGACAGGCAGCACATGCCCACACAGGTGCCAGCTTTCCTCTGCCCTTTGGCTGCCATGTAACCATGCTGCCCACCCCACACTCAAGACCCCGCTGGGCAAAGGGAAGAATTGCTACCTGACAACATGCTGCTAGGAGAGTTGTCACAGCCCTGAAAAATAGTGAGACACCCAGCCAAGTTCTGGTCCTGCTGCCCACGGCTTCCTCCACGCTCCCACAGAAAAGAAAAGTACTGATGGGCACATTTCTCCACAAGGCGACTCCTTTTTCTAAAATGAGGGCCAGAGCCCTGGTTTCAGTGTTCTGAGACATGGTTACTCTTCATGACAGTTTTTGCCAACAATGACTTTTTGCCTTCCCTTCCTTACTTATGGGTTTTCTTTTTTGGTGACATTTTCCTTTCACTTTGATTCCACTCCACTTAATGCAGCTGCCATCTGCCTCCTAAGCCCACAGCTCAGTATGAGCAAGAGCACACAGCTTCCTAATACCTCTGCAGTCCCTCATATCATTACTGCTCATCCCTGACCCTCTTCCACTAATCCATTCCCTTTGATCTGCCTCCTCCAAACAGATGGAACATGGTTTCTAGAGGTAATGCTCTGCCAAAAAGCATCCCAAATGACCTCTCTTAGATACAAACCTGGCAAATGAAGCCAGGAGGCAGCAGGCTGGGTTGAAGGTCTGGGACAGAGAAACCCTGGATATTGGCATTCCAGGACAAGTCTTAACTTTGGAAATGAAACCACAGCATCCCTTCTGGCCAGAGCCTGAGGACTGGTCCTTGCCATAGGTCAGTGATCCCTCCCCCACCACAGCACACACACACAAGCACACACATACAACCAGTCTCTAACATTCTACATTCATGTACTGTTCCTACAAGAGCCCAGAGGCAAGGATCTCACAGAGCAGTAAACAGAGCAGTAATAGTTATAGCAGCTACATTTATTTAGTGTTCATATGCTGATGTTTTGCATACTTTACCCCACTTTCTTTTCACAGCAAACCTAGAAAGTAGGTAGTGTTACCCTTAGTTAATAAGCTAAGAACTGGAGTTAGAGAAGACCCAAGTCTGAATCCTAACATCCCCACTCACAAGCTGTGTGATGCTAGGCAAACTCCTTAAACACAGTAACCCACAAATATATGCTTTTTACCACCCCTCTGCTGCCTCTCATCTCAGACTCACCAGGCCAAGGAAGGACTTGGGGTCAGAAGCAGTGGAGTAGGAGATCTGTAGTTCCTTCATGGGTTCATTGATCTCTGGCTCCTGGGTAAACAGACCCCCAGAAAAGTCACTCTGAACCAAGCACAGAGGATTGTGATCACCAGCCAGGAAGTCTGTTCAGGCCATGAAGCCAACACAGGGCTTAGCGCAAACCAAAATCCACCTCTCCTGGGAAACCTGGAAGAGGCCTGTGGACCCTCCCTTTCTCTCTGGACAGATGCACCAGCCCCCAGCCATCTCAGGCTGGGCCACCCAGATAAATATAGACACCTACAGGTCAACATGCGTAAGTAGAGCCAAGTGAAGCGCAATGAGGATGGCTAGAGTTGGCAGGAGGGAAGTTTGATACTATCCTGAAAAAAAAAAAAAAAGTATCTTTTCCAGGAAGTAGTTAAATAAATTAATTCGCTTGTCATCTACCTGGAGGAGTAGGACTAAGGGCTGGAAAATCAAACATACCAAAGGGTCTCCCCACTAGGTCCTACTTCTGTCCATTTGGGTCATTGCCCACATCTTGGGTTGGCTCAGAAAGACCCATAGAAATTAATGAGGAGTCATCTTATAACCTAACTGCCCAGGGCTGGGGCAGGAACTCCCAATTGTCCCCCAAATCCCCTCAGTGTTCTCTCTCTATAGGAACTCGGACTGATGCAACCAAGACTAACCCCAAAATGAAGTCAAAGAGTAGAAGGGGAAGGCAGGAAATGGGAAGAGGAAGTAAGCAGAATAGAAGAGCATGAGTATCCCAGGGGGGTTCCAATGGAAAAGCAAATTTCTGCTCTGATTTCTTGAGCCAGCAGGTTTGGAGTTTCATTCAGGATTTTACCTCCTGCTGAGTCTGGGCACATTTATCACCATTAAGGTTTCTGCCTGATGTTGACAGCCAACTGGAGGCCTGCAAATGAAGCTCCTGCCTCAGATATAAAGATCTGGTACAGGAATGTGCACAGGGCTTCAGAGAGCTGCAGAGGGTCACAGCCAGCAGCTGCCCATGGGACAAAGGGACTTACTTCACTGGCGTCTGATATGCTCTCTTCTGGGACAGCAGCCTCCTTCTTTGGCTCCTTTGCTGCCTCTTCCTTCCTGGAACCCTCCTCTCCTGCAGCCACCAGGTCCTCTGGTGCATCTTTTTTATTGCATTTGGCAGGCCGATTGCTCCCAGGATCCACCAGACTCTTGGACATCACAGGATCACTCTTGTGATTCTTTTCTATCCCTGGGAGCCAAGCGTTCGCCCCTCTCCCCTGCTGTCCTCTGACCTCTGCACAGGTGAGACTGCCGTCTGCACCCTGGCTAACGAGCTTGCTGGGAGCAGTGGGATAAGGAGCATCACATCCAAGAGAGACATCCTTCTCCTCTGGTTTGCTTGTTCTTGGAGACTCCTGGGGAGCAGCAGATCATGTCGAAAGGAAGATGTCAGGAATTAATAAAAAGAACTGAGGCTTACTATAAGACGGAGCAACCATTCCTTGACTCCTACAGGCTCTAGTTCTGTTACCAATGGTTAGCAAGTACCCAAAAGCTTTTTAAAACAGATTACTGGCCCCACCCCAGACCTACTGACTCTGAACTTCATGGTGATTGAGACAAATCCAACCTGACCCCCATCCACTGATGGGCTTGAAAACTACTGCATTGGTCTGTACAACTCTATTACCCCCTATCACATCCGTGAGTAGTACATCTCTTTCCAGCCCCAACAGACAATTATAAGATTGCAGACTCAAAAGTCAGTATTTATTTACAATGATGATGAGAGAGAATCGCATGAGAGGAAAGTACCAAAGTCTAGAATTTCTATTTTTCATTTTAAAAGGCAGCAGGAAAAAAATATCAGGAGGATGCCCCTTCTTCAATAGCAAAATGTGCAGCTCTCTCCCTAGAGCTCTCCCATGAGAGTAGCCCTGGAGGCGAGGCTTCTGTTGGAGGACATCAACTGCGTCCTGAGAAGTAGGTGCCAAGATGCGATTAGATGTGTAATCAATTTATGGGGGAAATGCTGACGAAAGATAAAAGAGGGAGGAAAGCCTTCGGAGCACAGGACTCAGACCTGCGACTAGAGAAAGGGACAGAGGGAGCTTGATCAGGAGGAGTCTTGGGCCACAACACAGTTCAGAGAAATGTCTGGCAGGCCCAGATGGGGTCCTGCATCAGACGGAAAAGGCTCTGCTCTAGGGCCTGCTGTACTCCATCCACTCATCAACAAGCATGGCCTTGTCACGAGCCACAGTGGAGCAAAGATGCAGCAGCGGTCAATCTGCTAAGGGCCCTTTACCAGGGTCTCCTGAAAGGAGATGTGGGCAGCAAACCTCCACCACTGACACACCCTGCTTCTCACACAAAAATCTCACTTTGAAGACTAGGGCAAACCTTTAGAGCTGGCCAAAATAAAGAAATTAGAACCCGCCCCCCTTGGAAAGGCAGCCAGGGATCTCTCCTGAGCTCAGGCAGAGAAGCCTTCCCCCCCAGAAAACATCTACGCTAACACTTGAGCAGCTAGTCAGAAAAACTGATGAGTGGGGATTTCTGAGATCTCCTGATTCCCTACCCTGGACACTCAAACAAAAGGAGCCTGATAATCAGAGTCCAAAGGTCCAAAGAGCAGCCCTAAACAGTTTTCACTGATGGTATCTGTGAAAGGATCTGTTAAATCCAAAGACAAGGAGCACCTATCTAATCTGCCTGTAGGTCTGGCAGCCAACTGACACATTCCCAGGACACTCAGGAGAGGCAGGAAAGCAGAGCAGTTCAGAGCTCAGCTTTGGAGCCAGACTGCCTGCGAGGAAATCTTGGTTCCATATTAGGCAAATGACTTAACTTTTCTGCACCTCAGTTTCTTCCTCTAAAATACAGGGATATAGTAAGGCCTGCCTCACAGGGTTATTGGGAAGATTAAATAAGTTAACACTCATTAAGTGAGTTAAAGAACTGACAACTGTGCCTGGCATTAAGTGTTCCATAAATATTACTGAATGTAATAAGACCCACACCTTCATTCACTGAGATCTTCAATGCGCCAAACACCACCTTGGTGACCTAAATATGAACAAGACATAGATCTTGCCCTCAAGGAATTCAGATGAATATGGAGAAAATTGAAATGTCCCAGGTGGCCCTGGTTATGAGCCTTTACAGCCCAAAGCAAAGGGCACTAGACACAGAGGTAATGCTGTCACCAGCTTCAAGCCTATCCCAGGGAGAATAGCACAAAGACAAGGCACTCTCCAGCGCTGCCCATTCTTCCAACATCTCTAACCTGTAACCTAGGAGAAATCTGCTGTGGTTACTGAGCCGAGAGAGGGTGGCAAGATGAGCTCCTGCTCTTCAAGACAAGCTTCTTCCAGGTGAGGCAGGCCTCCTCATCTCAATATCCCCCGTAGAGGTCAGCACTGGGCAGGAGCTCAGTAACGTGTGTGCGTGTGTGTGTGTGTGTGTGTGTGTGTGTGTGTGTGTGTGTGTGTGTGTGTGTGTGTGGCGAGGGGTTGGTCTCCAAAGACTCCAAGAAGGAGGTGCGAGTTTCTCAGGGTAAGTGAGGGGTATGTGGCCAGCCACACTGCCTCACTCATCAAATGCAGGATCAGCCCTGGCCAGTGTGGCTCAGTTGGTTGGGGCGTCATCACATAACTGAAAGGTTATGGGTTCGATACCCGGTCAGGGCAACATACCTAGGCTGCAGGTTCAATCCCCAGTCTGGGCATGTGTGATCCCTGGCCTGGGTGCTTGCAGGAAGCAACCAATTGATTTTTCTCTCTCACATCAATATTTCTTTCTCTCCCTTCCTCTCTCTCTAAAAGCAATGAAAAACTGTCTTCAGGTGAGGATTTAAAAAAAAAAAAGCAAGACCAATCCACCCAGCCGTGCTGACCTCCTGATTAAATAAAGGCAGCAGGCCGTAGATTAGGGGACAGAGGAGGTGTCAGATTAGGGGACAGAGGAGGTGTCAGATTACAAACAGCAACGATGGCTTTCAGGACAAAGTTCCTATCTCCTCACAGGGTCCAGCCCCTGCCTGTTTCTCATGGGTCATCTCTAGCCTTTCTTTCTTCCTGTGAATAAATTTCAGGCTTATTCTCTACTGTGCCATACACAATCTTAAATCTCTCCCTCACCTCTTCTCCCCACCCTCCCCACCCCCGCCCCCACTAGTCCTCGCAGTCTCACAGCCTTCAGGAAGCCATCTTTGACCCCTGGGGCAGCAGTCCTGAGATTAGCCCTCCCCATCCTCTTTCATAACAATGGCTGTATTGTAATTGCTGACTTCCTTGTCTGTTTCCCTTACCAGATCAGCCCCCCTATTATCCTCACTGTCTGGCACATAATAGGTTCTCAGTAAATGCTTGACTGAATTTTTAAAAAGAAACTGTAAAAACTCCACAGAAGTTTGCTAAGCTGTGGAAAGGACAGCTTCAACTTGAATAAGCCCTCACACAGCACATTCTGAAGGAAAGGAAACCGAGGACGAGAGGTATGGAAACTAACACTGCTGCTACATAAATAAACAAAGATAAACAAGTGTGTCACGCAGATACAGGAGTTCCTACCCTATAAACGGGAGATGTAATATTTATTTTACAAGGTTATATAGAAATTAACTATAAATATTTGTTAGACTGCTTATTAAATAAAAAATACCTAAACAAATGTTAACTATTAATATTCAAGGTGATGGAAAAACAAGTAACCTATCAAAAACCAGAGGACACCAGATATAGGAAGAGTTTCGCGTTATTTTGCATAAGAGAACACAGCCAGACTACAAGAATGCAGGGTTAGCCATTCTCAGGCTTAAATTCTTCAAAAGAAAATTTTTCCCATGATGGACTTATCCTTTCTGTCTACCTGAATATTAAAATATTACAACATGGCTAACATTAAAATTAGTGAGTTTGCATTGATGCATCTGTGACAACTGCACAGCATGACAGCCAGAGGAAAAGATCAGCAAAGGGAGACTAGACATTTGTTCTAGACACTCACCAATGGAGGAATGAGAGATGAGCGTGCCGACAACCCATCAGACAGTCACACAACATACTCCTCGCCTTGCACAGGGCCCTGCTCCTGATCACAACACGGGCCCACTGCCTGAGGCCCTGCCTAGGACACCCCTGCCAGGCCCTGGTGTCAGTGTTCTAAGGGATTGACAGCCAAGGGCAGAGAATGCACCCTCGGCAGGGCTTTGCCTCAGCTCCTCTGCAGTCAGACCCCTTCGGCTTCTGTCACAGCCCCAGGTCTGTGGATATCTCAAGGCAAATTGCTGCTGCTTTTTCAAAGAAGACCTCGCCATCTGCATGGGAAGGGGGTTGTTGGAGAGTGCCTGTAAGAACTATTTCGAGTTTCATGTACCCCTCCAAAAGCCATGTGGCGCCCAGTGCTACGGTCCTCCTCTAGCCCAGAGCACAAAGGCAGGGACTCCTGTAATCCACACAGCTCTGGAGGGAGGATGTGGGTGCGGTGGTGCTGAATACAACATCCATGCCCAGGTCCTGTTCTGGGGAGACCCCCACCAAGGCAAACATCAAGTCAGTCTCTTTTCCACATGAATTCTTTGCATTTCTCGCTGGTGCTGTTAGCACTTTCCAATCACACTGACATCATCCAGTTATTTCTAAGCCCAACTCCCTCCCTCCCTCCCTTTGATCAGCTGACGGGCTTTTCACTAGCAACACAAGGCCACATGCCAGTTCACCTACCTACCCTTCAACCTCCCCCTTTCACTCACACCCATTTTCAGTGTCTGTTTCATGAACCTATCCCTTTTAATTCTGTAATAGACTAGAAATGGGTTTTAAGTGGAAGGCAGAAGAGTAGGGGCAAGGAGAGAGAGAGGCATTCTTGCCATCCTACTGCCCTCTCATGGAATCAGGAGCACAGTGACAGCTGACAATGAGACAGGGTAGAACAAACCACAAAGAAGCTCTCCATCTAGGTTGCCTGGGGCACCTCAGAGGATCTATAAACTGGGACAAAAGCCATTTTCAAAAGGTGTGGTCCAAGCAGAGGCAGCTTTGTCATCTCCTTAAACATACCCTTCTCCCATTCATCCCCACCACTAACCTGCCCTACCAGGAAAAGCCCTAGTTCCTGCCAGAGGTTAGAACAGAGGAATTCAACATTCCATGTGGCAAAAAGAACTAAATCTAATAAGATGCTAGAGACAGGAGTGGGAGGTGTACTTAACAGACATTTCACTCCAGACATTTTGTCCCATCACACTAGGTTGCCTATTTATATTAAAAAAGGTTATACAAAATATGTTTAAAAGCATCCACTCACAAAAAAAAGAAAAAAGCATATCATCATCAGAAATGAAGTTTTTGGAAGTCCAGGACATGTCGAAGAACATTTTTTTTTGGCACTAATAATCCATTGTAAAGTAAAAATTAACTAGCCCAAAGTCAAAGTTCATCATGATAGACACACTTTGGGATCTTCTATCCACCAGCTGATAGCAGAGACCAAGTATCTACTCTACACAGGACAGGGGAAAGCCAAGGGAAGGAAAAAGACACAGCACAAGCTGCCAGAATACCAACCCTATCCCAGCATGACCCATTCATTCCTTCCTTCATTCATTCATTCATCACCTATTTATTCTCTCGGTTGTTCAGCAAAACTTACCCACAGCCTTCCCATGTTCCAGGCAGTGGGATGGAGAGAGAGAGAGAGAGACAGACAGACAGACAGACACACACGAACGAATATGAAAATCTCTGCTCCCAATTTGCTCTGTCTTGTGGAGACTATCTTCTTTCTCCAAAAGTTAAGTCAGTCCTCCTGACACCCCATTCCTATTCATGGCTACCCTTCTAGGTTCAAAATCTGAGCTACTGATTCCTTCAGTATTTAAGGTCTTAATGGTAGATGACAAGAAACAAAGTTGTCATTTTAGGGAAGCAAACAAACCAAAGGGTTTGGATTGAATGAAAACAGACCAGGCCCCACTCAGAAGGAAGTTTCAAAATAGGCAAAGATCAGATTGGTGATAAAGATGGGACACTGAGAAAAAAATGCCACATTTGGAAGAAAGTGCCAAAGTCACAATCAAAGCATATCTGATTGTGCAGAGCCGAAACTATGGACAGTTTGTGAGGTACTAAAGAAAGCCTAACTATAAAGAGGGGCCTGCAATGGCTCAAGTTGGGTCACCTAGGAACACCTACCTATAAATCAGGGCCTGTCAGCCAACATCTGCAACCTCAGCTAGCCTGAGACGTTAGCCCTGGCTCTCCATGTAAGCTAAGGAGCAAGAAATAAGAGCCAGAAGTAACAGGAACATAATAAGAGTTTATAAGGACATACTATAAGAGATAATAAGGAAACAAATTTTACTCCCTGATGCAAACACTCTTGTTTCAGTGGTCAGTTTTGTGATCATTCTAATAAAACATGAGTGATCCATTTCATCTTAGAGGGTTTAAAGTACTTAAAAGAATTTGGTATATTAGGTAGCTACACTTTGCCTCCTCACACAACCAAAAGGACAACAACAAATTTAAGAACAAAAAATAACCACAACTGCCAGAAAATCGAACTGGATGGAAGTCCGACAACCAAGAAGCTAGAGAAGAAACATTCATCCAGACTGGTAGGAGGGGCAGACACGGGCAGCCAGGGCAGAAAAGACACATGGTAAGGTGGCAGCTAGAGGACCGGGTGGTCCCACATTTGCGCACAGATTAACCATGAGGAACAGCTGAGGAGCAAGACAGACCACGCAATCCAGGGTTCCAGTGCAGGAAAAGAAAGCCTCAAAACTTCTGGATGCAAAAACCTGCAGGGGCTGCGGCAGTGGGAGAAACTCCCAGCCTCACAGGAGAGTCTGTGGGAGAGACTCACAGGGTCCTAGAACGTACACAAACCCACCCACCTCGGAATCAGCACTAGAAGGGCCCAATTTGCTGGTGGGCAGAGGAGGAAGTGACTGAAAGACAGCCCACAGTCAAGCAAGTGGCACTGATCCCTGTCAGACCCTTCCTCAACAGACAGCATCACAACACAGTGACCTAGGTTGCCCCACCATGGTGAATACCTAAGGCTCCATCCCTTCCAAGGTAACAGGTGGGTTGAGCAACAAAGAAATATGGCCCAAATGAAAGAACAGATCAAAGCTCCAAAAATAGAACTAAGCAATGAACAGACAGCCAACCGATCAGATGCACAGTTCAAAACACTGGTAATCAGAATGCTCACAGAAATGGTTGAATATGGTCACAAAATGGAGGAAAAAGTGAAGGCTATGCAACATGAAATAAAGAAAAATATACAGGGAACCAACAGTAAAGGGAAGGAAACCAGGATTTAAATCAACGATCTGGAGCAGAAGGAAGAGACAAACATTCAACCAGAACAGAATAAAGAAAGAAGAATTCAAAAAAATGAGGAGAGGCTCAGGAACCTCTGGGACAACTTTAAATGTTCCAACATCTAAATCATAGGGGTGCCAGAAGGAGAAGAGGAACAACAAGAAACTGAAAACTTATTTGAAAAAATAATGAAGGAGAACTTCCTCAATCTGGCAAAGGAAATAGACTTCCAGGAAGTCCACAAGCCCAGAGAATCCATAAGAAGTTGGGCCCAAGGAAGCACACACCAAGGCACATCATAATTACATTACTCAAGATAAAAGATAAGGAGAGAATCTTAAAAGCAGCAAGAGAAAAAGGAGATAATTACCTACAAAGGAGTTCCCATAAGAGTATCAGCTGATTTCTCAAAAGAAACCTTACAGGCAAGAAGGGGCTGCAAAGAAGTATTCAAATCGATGAAAGGCAAGAACTTACATCCAAGATTATTCCATCCAGCAAAGCTGTCATTTAGAATGAAAGGGAGGATAAAGTGCCCCCCAGATAAGGTCAAATTAAAGGGGTTCATCATCACCAAGCCCTTATTCTATGAGATGTTAAAGAGACTTATCTAAGAGGAAGATCAAAACTATGAAGAGTAAAATGACAACAAACTCACAACTATCAACAGTTGAACCTAAAAACAAAAGCAAAAACAAACTAAGCAGACAACTAGAACACAAAGAGAATCACAGAAATGGAGATCAGAGGGGAGGGGGAGACGGGAGAATAGGGAAAAAGGTACAGGAAATAAGAAGCATAAATAGTAGGTACAAAATAGACAGGGGGAGGTTAATAGTATAGGAAATGGAGAAGCCAGAGAATTTAAGTGTACGAGCCATGGACATGAACTAAGGTGGGGGGGGGCGGTGGGCAGGGAGGGGGCCACACGGAATGCTGGTGGGGGAGGTACACAGTGGAGGGGAATAAAGGGGAAGAAAAAAATGGGACAACTGTAATAGCATAATCAATAAAATATATATATTTGGTATATTAGACTATGAAAAGTTTAATTATGTTTGTAATCAATATTTAAATGTTTGGGGAAATGTGAATTGTTGACCTCATGATTTATTAGTTACGTGAATACTTTTGGAATATTTAGAGAAATATTAATTGTTACAAATGAATAAACTGAACACCAAAGTGCGTATAGTAGGAAATGTTCCTTTTCAAGTACAAAATGCATTGGAGTTTTTAGGTGTAATAACAACATGATGAGTTTGGGGTTTTGTGTGTTTATTTTTTATAAAGAACATTCTGGTGGCAGTAAAGAAGAGACCACGGACAAAGAGATCAGAAGGAACAGGGCTATTTCTGGAATCTATTCTCATCTGTATTCTGCATTTCTCAGGCCTCGTGCCTTTGCTCAAGCTGTTTGCTTGCCTAAAGCATCCCTTACATCCTTCCTCCATGTCCAAAACTTACCCACTCCTAAAGACCCAAGTCAAATGTCATCTCTTCCACTAAGTTTTTCCTCTCTCTAGACAAGTAATTTCGTCCCCCTCAGGACTCCTCCAAACAGTGTACCTGTGCTGTTCAGTTCTTGTACATGCTGCTCTGCTTTAGAGCTTCCTAAATATTCATTTACTCAACAGTTACTGATCACTTATTAAACAACAATCATCTAGCGTCCTTTTTCTGTCTCCAAATGCAAATTCCTTGAGGCCAGCCCAGACCCATATCTTACCAATACCTGAATCTCCCACAGGGCCTAGCGCAGAGGCCTGCTACAGAGCCAGCATTTGACAAATGCTCAGAATCTGGATGATGTTACACTCTGTTTAAAACCGCGGATGACTGCCCATGCCTGTGTAATTTGATCCCAACTTACCAGCTCGCATGCAAGTCCTCCATGACACAGCCCAACCTACCCCTACAGTGTTCTCCCTCATTCCTTTCTCACATACATTCTGTACTCCTGTCAAAGGAGACGCCTCATCTTCCTCCTCAGACTGATCCCATACCTCTCTGCCCCTGCCTGTGCAGTGCCCTGCATTTGAACTTCTCTCTCACCATTCACCTCTGCTTGTCTAGTCCAGCCCATTGTTCTTGACTCACCTCAGATGTCAGTTTCTCAGTGAAGCCTTTCCTGGTAAATAACAACAGACAAGAGACTTCTAATGCTCCGCTCCCATGGCCTCCCTGCATGCTACTCTGCACTCGTTATTTAAGTCTCTCTTCTATGAGACTATAAGCTCTTAGAGAGCAGGAATATCTAACGTAGGCATTTTATGACCTATAGCAACTAGTAAAGTACCTTATTTTGTAGAAACATACAACAAGTGGTGCTTATTTGATAACTGACTAAGTGGATGAAGTCCTTTCCCCTCCGTGCTTCCCCAAGCCCCAGAAATCCTACCTGGACACAACTGGGACACAATGATTCTCTTCCCTAATATGTATTCCCATGGGGTGAAAGGCTTAAGAAGCAAGGAGGTATCCACCAGGCTAAGGAAGGCACCTGCCTACAGGGGCTTCAGGATCTTACCTCATACTCAAAGTTGCCTTCCAACACCCCAATGTCCAGGTGCAGGTTCTTGAGAAGCTCACTTGAGCTGTGGACACTCTGAAACAAAAATGATTATGAGTGGTAAGCTGGGAAACTGGACAGCCCAGAGGGAAGGCCAGGAGGCTCTTTGTGGGTTATACTTTCTCAGTCAGACCTAAGAAGTATACAGACTAGGCGAAAAATGAAGCTGCTAGCGAGAAATCATTTTTACTTATTTTCAAACTTGCACAGAGGTTAGCCAAAAAGTGAAAACAACCCAAGTGTCCATCAACAGATGAATGGATAAATAAAATGCTGTCTATACATACAATAAGGATTATGCAGCCATAAAAAGGAATGAAGTTCCAATAGATCCTACAATGTGAATGAACCTTGAAAACATTATGGCACACACAAAAAACCATACATTAAAGGGCAAAGACTGTATAATTATCCTTATAGGAAACATGTAGAATAGGCAAATTAATAGAGGTAGAAAGTAAATCAGAGGTTTACCAGGGGCTGGGTGGAGGGAAGAATGAGGAGTTATCATTCAGTGGGCACAGAGTGTCTGTTTGGGATTACAGACAAGTTCTGGAGCTGGACTGTGGTGACAACTGCACAACACTGTGGAAGTCATCAATGCCTCTAAACTGTGTACTCAAAATTGGTTACGATGGTAACCTTCGTGTTATATATATTCTTTACCACAATAAAAAGTTTTCAGAAAGAAACAGAATAGGGTTTTCAGGGCGAGGAGCAGGATCATCATTACCTGGTTGTCACTCTCCACTTCATCCTCCTCATTGGCCTCCTCCTCTAAAGCAAAGAGGCTGACAGCATTCTTGTCCTCATGACCCTTGGTATAAGCAGAAGTCTTGAGACCCTGTGAAGGCTCCAAAGTAGAAAAAGAGGGTTAAGCAACTCATGAGGAAGACCTTCAGGATGCTTTCCCCACTCTCTTTCTGTTTAGGTGTCTTCCAGAGCAAGTCCACATCAATGAAGCTGGCCCTGGTAACTCTGGCTCACACTGATCCCTCCTTTCCCCAACTACCATTGCCCTGGCCGTAGAGACTGGAAAATCAGCACTGCAGTCTCTATGACATGGGTCCATCCTCCACTGCCAAGAGCCCACCATCAGCATCATACAGGAGTAACTCACCTTCCCAACTAGATTAAAAACATTGAGGACTCAGCCCACGCCCTTTATTTCTCATCTATGGGCCACAGAGTTCCTAGTGCAGTACAAGGAGACCCCACAGTAACTACACAACACAAGGAAAAGAATTTACCAGTATGAGCTCTCCAAGCTGGCCAGACTCCACTGCATCCCCCAAGTCCACACTTTGAGATACACGAAGAGCAGAGGGTGGGGCATCCACAAGGCCTCGTAAGGGAGCCAGGCCCCCAACAGGGATATGGACCGAAGCTAATGAGGAGCCCAGGGCCTGAGCAACAGAAAACATCCTGTTACAAACCCAAGAAACCACATGGCTCTGAGAGTCAGAGGCAGATGTAAAAATAAAACATCTAAATCCTGCCCGCTCAAATTTAAACCACCTCCGTTCAGAGGCTGCTAATGAAATACAACATCCAGAAATTACCATCGTGCCAACTGTGTGAGAAATCAGAGGCTGATTCCCTGATTCTCATAACTCCACTGCTGTCTTCCAGTAAACATCCCTTCGCATCTGGCAGGTGCTGCACAGGGCTCTGCTCTCCTTTCAGAAGCCACACAGGAAGTGTGTGGAAGGGGAGAGCAGAGACAAGAGCCTCATTTACCAGAGTGAAAAGTCTCAACAGATAGTTTAAACTGATAAATCAAGAAAAAGCAGTGTAAGCACATTATTCACAAATATGGAAGTAAAACACCAGAAGAAAGCAGTTGCCTCTGAAGAGAAGCACACACACCAGAGAACTGCAGTATCTTGTGATAGGCCGTTAGGTACCATTGGACTTTGTTTAATATGGCCATGTATTATTTTGATTAAAATAAATATTAACTATGAAACAATATACAAGAGCAACAAAAAAATAAACTCTCTTGCCCGCCTGCACTGACAAGAAAAGTGGCTGACAGAAGTCAAAAGACTGGCCCCTTCTTCTGCGTCTTCTCTAAAGGCATTGAGCCAGCATGGCCAGGGAAACCAGGTAAGGAGTCAGAATCTGGGAGACCACGGGCTACTCACAGTTACCCATCAGAAAGATGGGGATGATGTGTGTCCGATCACTTAAGGTTTGTTGAGAACTTCAAATGGGATCATCAGTGCAAGGAGCACATGCGAGAGGTCCAGGGCTACACCAGTGTTATGGAATTGGTATTATAACACAGATACCTTACAATAGTCTGGGCTAGAAGTGGAGGCAAGGATAGCATTCTGGCGACAATTTACAAAGAGCTCTTTAAAATTCACTCTGCAAGCTTAAAATGTATAAAACAACACAAAAATTCCATTTCCTTCTGATCCCACAAGGACAGAAGGAAGAAAAGAGAACCAGGAGAGGGTCAGAATTAGACCATTCAGACAGCCCTTCTCCTCACCCACAGCCTCGGCCCAGGGCCGGACTATCAGGTGGGTCCTGAAGAGGGCTGTTTCTCCAGGGAAAGGGCATGAGATGTTCATCTGAAAGGTGACATGAGAACCACTCCGAGGCCTTTGTAGGTTCCCGAACACCTGGCCTGTTATAGAGTATCTCTGTTAGGCAGAAAAGGAGATGGCTATTAATAAAATTGGCCAAAATCACCTGAGTTAAGCACCTTAACTCAGTAATGCCATGTCTCATTGTACTCTCATGACAGCCTGAGGACACCATCCTCACCACGTGAGCCAATGGAAATTGGTGAGGTCAAGACCCCTGCCCAAAGTCATGGGCCACCAAGGGGGGCAGACATAGGCTTGGAACCCGGAGCTATCTCTAAGCCAGTATATTACACTGCCTCCTGGCTGTGGCAGAAAGAAGCCCAGGTAAGCATCTCTGAGGTGAACTGTGAGTAAACCAGGCCTGCTGCTCGACTTCCACCCTCCCAGCCAACCACAGCGTAGCAGCACGCAAAATTCTTCCTATGCTGTATTTATGGAAAATTGCGGGCTCCTAACACAGCTAATTTGCTAACGTGCTGGGGGCCTGGGGGAGGGAGACAGGGATGCTGAGGACTTTTATTCTCCCAGACTTTTACCAAATTAGTGTTTAGCAGGGAAATTATGCATTCCTGGCTCCTAGGTAATCATCTTCTGTAGATGGCCATTAACTCTGACCATGGACTGTGCATGGCCTTGTCCTTCAGAGCAGATAAACTTGCTGCCATTGGGCTAAAACTTTCAGGATAATCTGCAGCTTATCTGATATTTATAGTGCTGCAGTAGTTATTAGAGCTAACAGAGAACCAGTGCAAGCCAGCAATTAAGAAGCAGAGGTAACAACTAGGCGAGGCCACAGCTGGACAACAAAATAGCCAGGGAAATTCAGATTGACCCCGTGGTCTCTGATCCAATTTGACTCCTAAATGAAGGATATGGTGTGACTCTTTAAAGAGATAAAGGGTCAAAGTGACAGGGCAAGCCCAACCCTTTGGAAATCCCAGTAGGGGAGGAAGTGAAGGCACAAACAGGATCTACACAGCTTGACACAGGTTATTCACAGGTTTTCTGGGAACCCTGGGAAGCAAGAAGCAGAAGCAGCTTACTGGATGAAGCCCAGAGTGTAAAGAGATTCTGGGCTTCAGCCCCTTGTAATCATATTAACTCTCTAGTTCCGTGTGATTCTTAGAAGGGACTAAGTTCAGAGCTTGGGGGCAAGGTGTCTGATTAGGAGCACTCCTCCTATAATCAGCGATGGGAAAGGCTGCCCAAATCCTGGGAAGGTACCTATACCTGTATGAGTGTCAGGATTGGTGCCACCTTGCTTACCCTCAAAACTTGTCAGAAAATCCCCAAAACATGTGAACCACCCAGGAAGTCTAGGTCTCTCCAGCCCCTATCTTGTACATGATGGGATAGAAGACACATGAAATACATATCACCCCACAAGATGAACATCCTGAGTAGTTAAGGGATCAACAGTTACCAAGGGAGGGCAAGTGACAGGAAAGCAGACCTAATGGCTGGCTGCATTAAGATATCAACTCAACCTGCTCCCTCACTGCCACGTTCAGAGAGACCTGGGCACCATGCTCTCTAAGAAGCCTACCTGATTAAGAAGCTTCATCTTGCCTGGCTCTACAGCAAGGCTTCCATTGGAACTCAGCTCGACTAGCCCCTGCCTGAGAGGGCTGCTGCTTGGCTGAAGACAGGCTTGCTGAGAGGCCTCCTGCCCAGCTGGGGCAACGGCCACCTCCTGAGGATGCTCCAGCAGCTCTGGCCCCCAACCCAGAAACCGTAAGTCCCTGTCCGTTACTCTGGTGGCCTCGTGCTCACCCACATGAGATATCCTGGGAGACTGAGCTGTTGTGCAGCCGACCATGCTGGCCAAGTCTCTGCATGGCATTTCCTGCATGTTCTCTGGCAGCCCCAGGTCTTCCAGCCGCCTGGAGATCTTGACCATCTGCAGGATGTGCTGGTAAAACCTCTGATCCTCGGAATAGTCTTCACTCTCTGACTGCTCATCAGCAGAGCTCTGCAAGTGGGATAACTGGGGCACTAGGAAGGGGCCAGAGTGTAGATGTCTAGTTCCAAGGCCTGCCTGACCCACACCTAGCCCAGGTCCCGGAGGGCTCTGCAGGTCCCATGGGAAGTTATTCACCTCACCCACGACCTGAGAGCTAAGGTGAGAAGCCAAGCTGCTGCTGCTCTCTAAGTCAGACCCATCCCCACTGGGCTTCCTGTCTTCTTCAGGGGGATCTGTAGACAATGGGAGGTGTCTCTTCACACTGGTAGGAGATGCCCCAGGGGCACTTCCTGAAGGGGCACTCTGGGCTGGCTCTGATGCAAGAGTATCAGGTGGTATTAGGGATAGTCCCTGAAGTGGACCTTCAGCTGAGGCCCCTAGATCCTCATGGTCACTGAGCTCTGTTTCCTTGCAGCTCCCAGGAGTGTCCTTGTTGGCAAGCTTGGAGACCTGTCCCATCCACAATCCTGGGGGCTCTCTCTTCCTCTTTCCCCAACCCACATTCCCACCTTCCCCAGAAACACTCTGACAGCTCAGGTCTTCAGCGGGGCCACTATCTAACATGAACAGCTTGCTCTTCCCAGTAGGCAGCATCGGGTCAGAAGAACAAGGAGACAGGGAGAGGTCCTCCTCAGGGGATGGTGAGGAAACGGGGCTCTGGCCCTTGTCCGCCCCAGGGCCTATGGAGCTCAGGGTGCCCATGCTGTGGCTGTTCTGCTCCCCTTTCATCTGTGGGCCCTTGACGGTTTCAGAAAGATTTGAGGGGGCAGGGGCCGGGCTCCTGCTTTCCAACACACCCTGCTCATTCTGGAGGGGTCTGCTGTTCTCAGGGCCCAGAGGGCCGAGTCTCTGCTGTGTGGTCCTCATTTCCAGTTCTTCTATTTCAGGGTTTGAAAATCCCATGTAGATTTTTTCGGTCGGCTTCTGGGGTTTCTCCAGACCCTGCTGATGACCTAATTCTGTTCTGCATTGGGCTGGGGCCCTGCCTAGGATTTTGTCCACGTCGGCAAAGATCTGGTGGGTTCGGGAAGCTTGGTCTTTGAAGAGTGGCTGTAGCTTGTTGGGCAGGGTGCCCCTGAGAGGCCAGGGGGTGTCACCAAGCATGCATGGGCTCTTCACTTTCTTAAAGGAGCCCTCACTTCTAGCCTGCATCTCTTGGTCTAGGTCCAGATCAGCAAGCCCAGGTGCTGGGACAGGGGATGGGCCATGGAGAAAGGAGGAAGAAGGCAGAAGTCCCTGCTCAGGCTGTGTTTCCTAGATGGATATACAAACATGCAAAGAAAACTAAGACAAAGCCCTTTTGATTTACATTTGCCACCTCAGCACTTGGCAAGCCCTTAGCAGAAACCCACCCTCCATTTAAAGTAGAACAAAAACCAAAGAGAAAAGAAAAGCTAAAAGCTCCCTTGGGCTTTGTTGTCTTCTGGCCCTAGTTTCCTCATCTATAAAGAGGAAGCCTGACTAGAACAATGACTTACAAACCTTGCTCCATAGAACCTGAAGGCTGGTTCCACATGGTATCCCGGGGCCCACTATAGTGTACATGCGATGGAGAAGGGCCATCACCAAGACCCACCCCAGCAGCTCCACTGCTTCTTTACATGCTGGACGGACCTCTCTGGAGAAACCGATTTGGAGACAGGACCTCACTACTAACCAAAGTCTGAAAATCACAAACCAGATTATCCCTAAGGTACCATCAAGCTCTCAGCTCTGTAACTGGTTAATTTATAAAATCTACCAACCTTACCAAGGACTTCCAGCATTATCTAAGAAGGGAGAAAAGAGGGGAAATCTAACTGTGAGTGAACTTTAAGAAACAGCCTACATCTTCTACCAAAAGCACGAGTTGGTACTGCTCAAAAGAGGTTGACGCCGTCAGAATGTTGGGGCCAGAAGAAACCCTAAAAAAATCAATCACACCCTGCAAGCATTCACAGTAAACTCCACCCAGCCCATGAGCACACACCTCTAGATAGCCCAAACCACCTAAGCCCAGGTCACCCTCCTGTCTGCCCCTTTGACAAATTCACGTTTTGAGACTCCTATCCTGAACCCTAAGAGCCAGACTGGCAGCCCAGAATTATCCAGTTGACCCCAGCTCCTGAAACTACAGAAGGAATTCTTTTTAACAGAGCACGCCAGGAATTCAGTCACACATCCAGAATTCTGACTAGCACCCAACCCTCCGCCCCAGAACCCTCGCTTCATTCCCTCTTGCACCTTTAGCCATGCCACAGCCTGTCCAGATGCTGAGTATCATTCAAAATAATCCTAGGCAGTCCTGAGCAGCCCTGAAGGTGTGGCTCAGTTGGCTGAGCAACGTCCCATGGACTAAAGGGTCGTGGGATCAAGTCCCCATCAGGGCACATACCTGGGTTGCAGGTTCAGCCCGGTCAGGGCGTGTATAAGAGGCAACCAATCAATGTTTCTCTCTCACATCAATGCCTCTGTCTGTCTGTCTCTCTCTCTCTCTCTCCACTCCCCGCCCCATTCCCCTCTCTCTAACAAAAAATAATAATAATAATCCTGGTCAAGTTAAAATCCCATTGTTCATCTTTTGTCTTCAAACACATGACTTTAGAAAATTCAACCTATTTGGAAATTGCGTGTCCTCTTTTCTCTATCTGGAGGAACAGGCTTGTTATCTTATTTCTCAGAGCCATAGTAGTAATATGTGGGGGAAAGGAAGGGAGGGAGGAGTATCTGTAGAGCTTAGAGATGATGAAAAGAATGAATTCATCAGCAATCATCCAATGCCAGAACTGACACCTTGAAAAGGATGGAGGATGAAGGAAATCTTCACTGAGAAGTAAGCACCAGGCACTGGTGGGAAATAAGGACTATAAACAAAAGAATAAATCAACTGGACCTAGGAGGGTTGAAAAGACAGTCCTAGTGCTCCCCACCTGGCTGATCCTCCCTTCTCCTCAACATGCCCTGCTTGCCCCACCCCTGAGTGAAGGGAAGAATGCACGCTTCACGGCACTGCTACACTATGGCTCCAATTCTTAGCTTCTCTGTCTACAAAATGAGGGTGATAACTCTGCCTCCTAAGGGCAGACATGCTGAAGGACAAAAAAAAATAAAATAAAATAATAATAATAATAATAATAATAATAATAATGGAAAAGAACACCTTCAAATCTCAGCAAAACAGCTCCTTGAGATCAACGTTACCATGCTGCCATCAAATTTCAGTTATACATCATTCACCTAGGACACTGGCAACTAAGACAAGCAGATAAGGCCCCAAGAGAGCCTTTCTTGGGGACCGTGAAGACACTGGTGTTCTGGCAACTGACATCTAGGATTCACACCACTGGGACAGCAACAAGCTCATACTAGGAAAGCCCCACTCTGAAAGCAGAGGAAAGCCCCTCTGCTCACGCAGACTCTCTGGCCTGTGCCAGCTGCTCCCCATCCCCCTACAGTCCCGAAGGGCCGATGGCATCACTTCTTATACTATTACTGCAAAGCATCGTCCTCAGCAGAGCATTCTCTCCTTTATGCTTTCCCCAGGGGGAAAAAGGGAATTGTTTAGAAATAGCAGCTTCTAAAAGGTGAAAGGAAAATTTGCCAGAAGACTGGCACAATTCAGATGATGTACTATCAAGAATTTACTCTTTATTGTTGTTCTTAACCTCTCAGCTATAAACACCTAGAGGTTCCCAATATCCCCTCAGGCTGCAGCCCTGGCCTCTGTGAGTTGGCACCGACTGACTCACCACAGCACTTTTTGAGGTCTCTTTGTCCTTCTTGTCTTTCTTTTCCTTTTTCTTTTTCTTGTCTTTCTTCTTAATAGCCCCAGAAGCTGACAGCTTCCCTCGCTCTTGGATTACCAAGTTCCGATAGTGCTCATCACATGGGTGGTCCCATGTGGACTGCCCATTCGCAAAGTTGAAATAGTAAATATCACCTGTGATGTCCTGGCTGGGGATGAGCAGAGGAAAGAAGTTAGTCCCTGCTCAAGTCAAAGCTACTTAGGAAAAAAAAAAAAAGAAAGAAAGAAAAATGGCAAAGAGGCAGAGGAGAAGGAACTGGGGAGAAGGGAAAGAAGGAGAGAGAAGATGGAAGGAGAGGGGAAGACAGGAAAGGATAACACAAAAAACTAAAGGCTACTATTTAGCTAAGACTAAAAGAGTTAAGTTAGATAAAAACAAAGGACTGGGATACCTAGGGACATTGCTACATGGAGACGTATAATCATTGGGGTTCCTGGGAATTCATGCTAGACTGGTGTGGGAGTAAGTTTTAGATAAGTACAAACACCATGGTATATTGGTAATAAAATCTAGGACAGACCTTGCTTAATAGTTGTATATACGGTCTGAGGAAGAAAGATGCATTATGAAAGCCCCGGTTTTATAAAAAGCCTTCAAACTCATAAACGGTGACAACTCAAGCTAGTAGGGATCAACAATAGAAGAAAATAATGTAGAAGGTGGGTTTCAGGAATCTGTGCCTCACCATGGACAAGTCCAAAATAAACCATTTATCCTATCCACCACTATCAATAATCCATTAAGACAGATAATGGATTAGGGGAAAAATTCACAAATAGCAATATGAAAGATATAATACCCAGGAATAAATCTCAAGTGCAAAATCTTTCTAAGCTTTACTGAAAAGCCAGGAAAAAGAAAAAAAAAAAAAAAACACACAGAGATACTCCATGTTCCTGAATAGAACGACTCAAATCTATAAACATGCCAATAACCCTCAAATTAATCCATAGAATCCCAATAGAATCCCAATCAGCTTCTTATGAAACTTGACAGACTCAATCTCTATTCAAATAAAATAGAAAATATACAGAAGTAAACAGGAAAAACATCAGGAGTAAATGATAAAAAAAAGAAAGATATTCAAGTGGTCAATAAGCACATGAAAAGTCAGTCAACATCACTAATCATAAGAGAAATGAAAATTAAAACCACAGTGAAATACCCCTCTGTACTCATTAGCATGGCTAATATCAAAAAAGCAGAAAATAACAAATGTTGGCAAGGATGTGAAGAAATTAAATGCCTTGTGCTCTTTTGATGATTATGTAAAATGGTGTGGCCACTGTGAAAAACAGTATATAATTAGCATCTGGCCCAGCAATTCTCTGGGTATATACCCAAAAGGGCTGAAAGCAGGATTCAAACAGATACTTGTATACAGTCCCTGGGAACTTGGGTTTTAATGCCAGTATTCACAGCAGCATTATTCATAATAGCCAAAGGTGGAAACAACTCAAATATCCACTGACAAATAAATGGATAAACAAAATGTGGTCCATACACATACCAAAATATGATTCAGTCTTAAAAAGGAATTAAATTCTGAAAAATGCTACAACATGGACGAGCTTTGCTAAGTAAAATAAGCCTGTCACAGAAGGACAAATATTGTATGACTCCATTTATATGAAGCACCTAAAATAGACTATTAATGGAGACAGAAAGTAGACCAGAGGTTACCAGGAGCTAGGGAGAAGGGAGAATGAGGAGTTTTTATTTAATGGATACAGAGTTTCAGTTTTGGAAAATAAAAGCTCTGGAGATGGGTGATGGTGATGGTTGCACAACACTGTGAATGTACTTAATGCCACTGAACTGTATATCAAAAAATGGTTAAAACAGTAAATTTTGTTATGTATATTTTACCAAAAAGAATTTACAAAAAAATCTTGTATTGAATAACTTATGCACTGACTAGAACCTCTCGTATAATTATATAGAAGTGATGACAATGGCCCTGGCCAGAGAGCTCAGTTGGTTAGAGCATCGTCCCAATACGCCAAGGTTGCTGGTTCAACCTCTGGTCAGGGCACATACAAGCAGCAACCAAGGAATGCATAAAATAAGTGAAACAACAAATCAATATTTCTCTGTTTCTCTCTCTCTCTCTCTCTCTCTCTCTCACTCTAAAAATCAACGTGTAATTTTTTTTTCTTTTAAAAGCTGAAAAAAAAGAAGTGATAACAATGGACATTTTTGCCTTGTTCTTCTTCAGTGCCTAAGAAAGCATAAAGAATATTAAAAGACAAGGAACTAGGAGAAAATAGTAGAAATGGAAGTATAAGATCAGGAAAATCAAAGAGTTCCACCTCATCAACAAAAATTAAAAGATAAGCAACAAAATAGAAAAAAAGGCAAAAGATATAAACAAGCAAATCACAAAAGATAAACCATGGCCAACTGATGGCCAACTCAACTCCATGAACAATTTGGGAAATGCAAATTAAAACAATCAGGTATAATTTCTTGCTATCAGGCTGACAATATTTTTTGACTGATACTATTTTTAAATGAATGATCATACGTGCTGTTGGTAGGGCTGATAAACTGCAATGGGATATAATTTATTATTAACTAATAATATTTATTTTAAATTCTATACCTTTTAACACAGCAATTCAAATTCTAAAGAAACATGCAAAACTTCGGGCAACATGATTAACTGAAGAAAACATCTGACCTATCCTCACCCCATGTCAACATAAATAAATAATGGATGAATATATAACAATTACAACAAAATAACAAGACCAAAAAAAATTCTTTCAATATAGCCAGAAAGAAAAAGAAATTCTCACATGCCAGAAATGGAAAGAAAACATGAACTCTGAGTAATAAGTGCATGAACTGATAGATCAAGACTGGTATCTGACCTGGATACAGGCCCTGGGAACTTGGGTTTTAATGTCAATTTATGGACACAAAATGTGGCCTTAGGCCTCCATGAATTTGGAAACTGGAAATGAGACCCTTACATACATCTGTAGGCCTTAAGAATGCTCCCTCCATCAGTAAAAGAAACTAGAGGTCCATGGAAACAAGGAAACATGCAACTCACTCCATTCTCAGCAGGCAAAATACAATGTTATAAAAAACTGAAATCCCCAAGATACAATACATGTTGATACAGAAGTTAAAATGTGTTAAGGAAATCTCAAGTGAGGAAATTAATATAAAAACTTAGTCCTAAAGCCCTGAGAAACCCTTGACAGAAGCCACTATAAAGCCACTCAACACCCTAGGAAAAAGACACTCACAGAAAATAACCTCTAGAGAAGATGGACTCACAAAATTGACAATAAATAATTACAAACCATGGGAGGACAGGTCACCACGACAAAAATTCAGTGACAAAATGAAGAGAAGAATTAGCACATAAAAATCTTGGCATAGTAGAACAATTAAAAGACTAATAATAACTACATTTACAATTATTGCAGGGATAAAAGGAACAGAATCTGTAATAAAAGAACAGAATTCCAGAAGAAAAAAAAACCCAGACATATTGAAAAAAACATAACAGAACTTACAGGAATTGGTAGTATCATTACATTTAAAAAAAAAAAATAGGTAGGTTAAACATCAAATTTAACAGAGAAAAAGAAACAAATAGTGAATTAAAAATTATCCAGAATGCAGCATGCAAGAGAAAGTGATTTTTAAAATATGAAACTGAAATTAAGAAACAGAGGATAAAAAAAAAAGAAGGTACAATATATTTCTGGCAGAGGTTCCAGAAAAGAAACGTGATAGGGTTGAAAATGTTCCAAAATTGAGGAGAGGCATGAGTCCTCACAGTAAGAAAGCACTCCAAATCCTGAACATGGTAATTAAAAATACATCCATACTTAGATATACTGTAGTGACACTATAGAACACCAAAGTTAAAAACAAAATAAAAACAACCAAAGGGGGAAAAACCTGATTGTTTACAAAGGAACAACAAATTACAGCAAGAAAACATGTCTTATTTGCAAAATCAGAAGTCAGAAGAAAATGGCATAACATTGTCAACAGGTTGTTCATATTCAACAAACAATACTATACTCAACTAAACTATCTTTCAAGAGTGAGACAAGACAAGAAATGACTGAAGACACAGGAAGATATTAACACATTTAGCACACATACAAAGGACATTTACAGAACCCTGTATCCGAAAATGAGTGATGACATTCTTATCAAGCACACGCTTACTGAGCCATAAAATAAGTCTCAACTTGTAACAATATAATGAATAAATAAAATTGGAAATCAGTAATAAAAAATACCCAAATATCTGTCCACCTCATTCCCTCCAAACCATTATTTTGGAGCAAAAATATTTAACAAAATTTTAGAAAATCTAATCAACTAATATATATTTATGACCAAGCAGATTTTTCCCCAGGAATGTAAGGTCACTTTAACATTTGAAAAATCAATCAATATAACTGCTAACACACTAAAACAGAAAAGTCACATGGTCCTATCAATAGATTGAGGGGAAAAAAACCCAAAAACATTTGATAAAAATCCAATATCCGTTTCTGATTGAAACTCTCAGAAAGCAAGAACAGAGGCGAACCTCCTCATCCTGACAAAACATACAGCTAACATCATATTCAATGGTGACAGAATGACTGCTTTTCCCTAAAGAACAAGGCAAAAATGTCCAGTGTCACCATTTCTACTTAATTATATTAGAGGGTCTGAAGTAAAACAAGTAGATATAAAAAGTATTCAGATTAGAAGGAAAGAAGTAAAAATGTCTTTATTCCCAGAAGACATGGTCACCTATGTTGGAAATCCTATAGAAACTACCAAAAAGCTACTAAGAATCGACATACGTAAATTTAGTTAAGTTTGTAAGATACAAGATCAATATAAAGAAAACAACTTTATTTCTGTATAAAAGCAACAAACAGCCCTGGCTGGTGTGGCTCAGTAGATTGAGAACCAACCTGCAAACCAAAAGGTTGTTGGTTCGATTCCCTGTCAGGACACATGCCTGGGTTGCGGCCAGGTCCCCAGTAGGGTGCACGTGACAAGCAACCACACATTGATGTTTCTCTTTCTTTTTCTCCCTCCCTTCCCCTCTGTCTAAAAAATAAACAAATAAAATCTGTTTTAAAAAATATTTTAAAAAGCAACAAACAATGGGAA